CTTTTTCCGAATACAGACCTATTTCAATTCGACAACACACTGGTGGTTCACTATTACTGTTCAGAGAAGGAACAGCAGCCAGCGCGATGCCCACCTCTGACTCTAACAGTCCTTCAAGGCATCGAAGCCCTAGGGCTGGCAATAGCCAAAAACAACGCCGCCGCATCGTACGACGATCCAACATGTCACGCTCAAATACAACACCCGATCTCGTTATGATGTCACCCGCTTCGATGTATAGCGGATGTGGTGTCACAGTAGCGCCGGACGAAGCAGGAGTCGTAAACACCTCCTCTTCTTCGGAGTCGTTCGCTTCGATGATCAATAGTACGTCTTTTGGTCACTCGCCTACGATCTCGATTAGAAGCGGGTCAAACACAGTAGTAGAAGGCAAGAAGAAGCATGGCGTGTTTGGCTTCAAGGCAAAGGACAATGACCGCCCGAAAAGTTCGCATGGGTCCCCCCTTCAACTATCGCCTCTGCCTCCGCTTACCCCAGTGAAAGCTGCGCAGTTTCTGGGTGTCGAATGCGGCGCTGTGAGGACTCGAAGCGGGTCGCTGGGCAGTCGAGTTCAGGATGTTTATGAGTTCAACGGTCCGCTGGTACGATCAATTCCGGAAGACAAAAACTCTTCGACTCGACTGACCGATCCTCAGGACTCTGCGAGCGAAGAGACTGAGTCCATAGAGGAGGATGTTGTCTCAGGACCAGTAACATCCAAGTGCCTTTGGGCAGCCGGTAACAAGAAAGCGCAGCGGATGTTTGGCATAGCCTCATCGCGTGGATCTAGCATCAAGCGTAGAGCTGAGCCAGAGCGTCACTTCACTGAGACGCCAGCGATTTATTCAAAGAAGGGAAATCGAGTTGACTACAGCAGTGAGCCTGATGTCCATGCCCGCGCTCCTGCAAAGCCTCGAAAACGTCGTACGCGCAAGAAGGCCCCTAAATCACTCGATCGGATGACGCCTATCACGGAAATATCGTGTGACGAACTGCGTTCTTCCTATCACGATTCTGAACACAATCCTGAGTTGGAACTCATCTCGGAGTATGAACGCGATCCTTCATACAGTAGTAGCCTACCGCAACGACCACCAACTCCGTTACCGCTCACGGTTAATACCAGTTATGAGTTGAAGGAAGAAGATCTCTCACCGGTGGATGCCAATTCAGGAAAACAGGCTGTTGCTGGAGTAGAAGAATCTGCACAATATTCCGATCGCGAAGTTGGCGTCAACAAACCTAAGCCAGAGCCGTTGACAGTCATATACCTACGCGGTCCTTTACAGTATTTTGAGGACCGCCTTCTCGATGCGACTGAAGCTCATCTTGCGGCTCAGAAGATGAAGAATGACATCAATGATGCTGCAAGAGTCTACCTGGATGACAAAGGCTGTTGTTTGAGAGCCTCCCACAAAGCGATGAAGAAGGAATTTGTGGCGGTAAGGCCGAATGTGCTCGTTGAGGATTCTGACAACGACACAGAGTCTGCAAGCGACGATGGCAAAAAACTAGTCTCTATTCGTGGCAGTATTGATTTGGAAGAAGATCCAATCGTTGATTTGGTCGAATTGATGACCTGCACACACATCACCGCAAGTGTGAGGAAGCTTGTCTATGTTCAACCCAAGAAGCCAAAGCCAACCACTCCGTCCAAAGGCCAGCCTACGCTCAACCCGTCAAGTGGAGTAAATTCACCCTTGAAGTCGACGTATATCTTCCAGCATGACGAGAAAGCCAGTCCATTCAAGGAACTCATCTGCAACGTAAGCGTACGTACATCCACACAACCTTTCACAACCCGAATTAACACCACGCAGCCCACCCTCAAACGCATCTATCACCCAGCTAAACTCCCCAAACAGATTCGTAGAACAAAAAAGAGCAGGAATCTCTGCAACGATTCCCGCATCCTAGTCCAAAACTGGATCTCCACAAACGACCACACCAAACAACGCCCCTTGTCTGACCGCCTCGACATGGACGTCCTATCCGACCAGCAAATCCCGCCTGCTCCCTTCCCCAAAGATAATACTAACAGTATCTCTATCACCAACTCCCCTCGACCTCCGAGGAAATCATCAAAAGAAGGCTATTGCCTCCGAAACGGCCACATCCTCCACCCAATCAACCTCCCATCTATCCCCGACGAAGCCGCCATCAACGCCCTTGAAGTCCGACCTCATCTGCGCACCCACTCCAGGCGTAAGATGCGCGTCCATATTCCGGTGTTTTGTGATCGGTGCGGCGAGGATGTGCGCGAGGAGCTGTGGGGGTGCGATCTTGCGGCTTGTCGCATGGTGGTGTGTAAGGGATGTTCGGTGGATATGGAGGCGGAGTGGATGGAAAGGGTGTGTGGGGGGTGTGAGAATTGAAAATGGGAAGTTGGGGATATGGAGGATCTGGGAATAAGTGAGAGAATAGGCATTTTAGGGATACGGAGACGGATAGGTTAGCTAGTGAGAGGGATTCTGGGTACTCATGTAATGAGTAAATATGAATGGAGGTATTGTAGATGAACGTGTGGTGCGAATGTATGCTTTGTGTGGTTTGCGTGTCGATGTGACCTTGAACTCACGCTATAGCGGCTGTTTCGAGCCCTTCTTACACGAGGAAGTTGACAGAGAGAAGTAATCACTACTTGATGCCCGAAATATTGACCATGATAGTTCTATCAACTCCGAATTCATTATGCAGTGTCTATTGCACCTTCTGTATTATCCAGTATGCCATGATGACTACCTCAAAAACGCCGGAACTTATCTCCTCAAATCGACCGAATTCATCCTTTTAACTCCCAAAGAAAAAAACCCCCATCAAGAGCCACATCGCAGTATCATACATCCAATCCTCACGTTGAAAGATTCCAGACTACCTTGCTGAAACGACCCATCCCATTCCCGCTTCAATAATCGACCAAAGCAGCTAAATCCGCGATACCCTCTCAAACACCCGTCCAAGCACCCCCTGCAATCCCTCGCCCCTGCATCCCCGAAATAAACTCATTCCTCAACTCCCTCTCCTCGTCAAACAATCGATCCCACCCAGCTTCATCCCTCAGGATACTCTTGCTATACTGGCGGGGATCCGGATGCGCCCAGTGCGTAACCAGGAAATGCAAAATGAGAACGCGTAATGAGGATTGAGCCGGAAAATGGGACCAGGTAAATTTTGCGAGGGACGGGGTGAGCGGGAAGTGGTGGCCGAGGGACCAGCGGATGCGGGCGAGGGTGTAATGAGTGAAGGAGGGGGAGTCGAGGGTCTGCGAGAGGTGGCAAGCATGGAAGCTTGGGGGAATGGGATAGTGGTGCGCGGGTTGAGGGGTCAGGGGGATGAAGGTGGCAGCGGTGGCTGGAATTATTCTGTGTACTGCGGATGTGGGTGCCGGTGCCGGTTTCATGCTTGGAGGGCTGGGCTTGGTGGTGGAGTCGGGGTGCGCTGTGGGTGGTATGCTGAGAGCACTGGAGGAGGATGAGATTTCATTGGATGTAGATGCAGTTTGACTTTTGTTAGTAGCAACGGAAGGTTGGCTAGGCTTTGGGTGGTGAGCTATCGAGACTACATTCAAAGGGGTTGGTGCAGGTGCGTACTGCTGGACCATTCCCTGAGAAGTGTTGACGTCGGCTGAGGCCGGATACGCGTCCTTGTACATATAGTAGAGGAAGAGGCAGAAGATAGCTGGATCGACCTCAGGGAGTCGGATGACCCAGTCTGGTTTCTTCACTTTCTCTTTTACATCTTCCTCGTCGGTGTCTGGCTCGATCTTGATCGCCGTGTCAGTCTCTTCGGGTTCCGTCATACTTTCGGTTGAATTGTCTTGACGAGCAGTCTCCGAGAGCTTTCGTTTCTTGTTGGTACTAGTTGGGGACAAGGCAGCCAAGCGCAACTGAGAAACTTGCTGGCGGAAGTAGTTCGAATAGTGGCAGAGGAGTGCAATGGGAAGGACGAAGCTTCGGCGGTTTTGATGTTCTCCGACTACGACTCGTATAGCGTTCCCTTCGATCCTTGAAGTTGTTAGTGATATATGTGGAAGTTTACTAACTGAGATAGCTTACATTTTAACAAACATATCAGGTTGTTTTGCACCAAGCGCTTGCGAGGGTGGGTGATGAGCTATGGTTGGCGGTGGCTGAGACGGCGGTGCCTGTTTGATCATTGTCTTTGGCAGGACTGGTAACGCTTTGGAATTTGGAAAACTGATATTCGACTGAGTGGGCAGAAAGAGCTTATGGAGTTGGTCAAAGCAGACGTCAGTGGATCTCGATGGAATAGGCCTTATTTGTATCTCATCAGCACGGTGCTCACTTGGTGAAGCAAACAGTCGAGGCGACGGTTGCGAGAGACGCCTTCACCTCGAAACGAGGTGAGTGAGTGGCATGAAGGCAGAAGTGAGAGATTGAAGCCTTCACGCAGACATTCTGAAAGTGAACAAGGTTGCACGATTCTTACCGGCCTTAGTGAAATAGGAAACTCTAGTATCTCCAACTAACTGTAACATCTTTGGATGGTTGTAGACTCGGTACATACTTATGTTGCGGACAAACAATGTATGACGGATCCATCAGGAGCTTCAATTGATTGCTCATTGGATTCTGAACCATTTGCATCGCATATAAAAAGCCGGACCGAGTTTTGAGAAAGGGTCGCGCCGTAGTGAGAAGTGAAGGTGTATTTATCATGCTATATCAGGAAAGCATGGGGTGAATGCCAAGGCGCTATGCATGTTTGCGTGTGGACCACAATAACAAATACATACACTGATGGTAGCCTATTTTTCGTATGACAGGGCATAATTCCAGAATATGATGACCGTGTCAACCATTGTAAATAAATCGCTTCAGAATTTGAGGGAAATGGTTCAGCAGAGAATGTGGTGTATTAGACGCTCAGTATGAGCAAACTACTTCAGTAGAAAGTATGGGTATGGTAGGTCAATCCTAACCAAGATATAGTCATGAGACATCCTCATCTCAGAGTAGCCAAGAGAGACAATCGCCAAACTAGACCTTGGCCTCGACGTTGACATCCTCAACGTGGCCGTGGTGACCAACCTTGAGTTTTCCGTCCTCAATATCACGGGCAACGCGGTCAAGACGCGACTCAACCTTTCCAGCCTTCCAAGCAGGCAGACCAGAATCAAAGACGTCGTCCATCTCCTCAAGTGTCTTGCCCTTTGTCTCTGGTGCGGTCAAGAACATGTGAATGAACGCAACAGCGTTGAAGGTACCGAAGATCATGTACATCTTCCAGTTGATGGACCAGAGAAGTGGTGGGACGGCGAAAGCGAGGATACAGTTCCAGGTCCAGTTTGTGGCAGTAGCGAGACTGACGGCTTTGGCGCGGACCTTGGCGGGGAAGATCTCAGATGGGTAAGTCCAGGAGACGGGTCCCCAAGTGGTGGCAAACGTAGCGACAAAGAGGTATGAGCATGCTACGATGGCCTTGGAAACAGCGCTGTGCTCACGAGGTACGACCCAGGAGATATCCTTGTCGGATTTGTCGGGATTGGGGTTGCCGTAAGAGGCCTGGAGAGCGCCCGTGGTGAAGAGCCAAACAGCCATTCCAAAGGATCCGCAGAGCAACGCTGGGCGACGACCGAACTTGTCTAGGTATAGGATAGCCGGGAGAGTCATGGCAACATTGATAATGTACTGAATGGATGCAGTGAGGAGCTCATCGGCGATCCCAGCTCCGCGCATAATGAACACAATGTAGTACATCATGATGTTCATACCTGATATAGTTAGTAACGGTGCTATCAGTTCAAGGGATTTCCATACCGCAAAGCTGTGACCACATCTGAATGGACATGCCGAGTATAACACGCTTGAGAATGCGGGGTTTGACAAGAGCAGCGAAGCTAGTTTCAGCAACCTCACGCTCGAAAGCAAGAGCCTCCTCGATCTCCTTGTATTCAGCGAGAACCTTGGGGTGGTTGACATCGCCACCACCGTGGAGGTTGGCAAGAACATGGAGGGCCTCCTCCCAGCGGTCTTTTGAAGCTAGCCAACGTGGGGATCGAGGAAAGAAGAAGAACCCGATAAAGAGAATTGCTCCGGGAACGGCTTGGATACCCCATGGAATACGGAAGGCAGCGGTGGCTTGGTTCGGGTTGTCAACGCCTCCATCTACGAAGGAACTTCCGTACTGGATGAAGTATTGGATCACTGCGAGTATGTCAGCATGAGTTATTCTAGCGTTTATCATGGCAGTGCGCTTGGAACTGCCCGGTGGTGCGTGAAGAGAACCAGCAAAGTCATAATATCGATCTAAACAAGGCTCCAGATATCGAGTGTGAGTAAATAAGGCACTTACGTATACCCCAAGTGATAGCCCATTGCTGTAGTGAAACGACACGGCCACGAATTTGCTTGGGCGCAATTTCTGCCTGGTAAACGGGAACCATAGCGGAGCAGATACCAATGGCATATCCGCCAACTGCTCGACCGACACAAAGGAGAGCGACACCATTGGCCGCTGCCTGGAAGACTGCTCCAATGATCCAGATAAGAGCAGCGATCTGGATAGCCACGCGACGTGAGAGCCGATCAGCGATGAAAGAAGAGGAGAGAGCTCCCAAGAGCGAGCCAGCAGGCATAGCAGCGGTTATACCACCTTGGCGAGTTCCGCTGGGATTGCCAAAGTAGCGCTTGTACGCCGGAGTGCCAAGAGCACCCGACATGGATGAGATATCAAAGCCGAAGAGAATGCCACCAAGAGCTGCGAAGCCACATATTGCATAGACGTTATAGATCTGGGGGAACTGTAGTACTGGTATGAGTAATCACATCGAGGCGTAACCAGGAATTGGAAGCTTACCTTCATCTTGCCAAATGGTTGTGATCAGGCTAGAAAGAAGAGTCGGTGGAACGGGTGGAAAGAAAGAGGTACAGAGTGAGATGGCTACAATTTTATATGAGAAGTAGGCCGCATAGTGCGCGTGATCTCGCTGGAATACAGTCCGTGCGGGTGGCCAGTTGGACTTGGTCTTTCACTCCTGCTGTAAACTAGGCAGTTCCCATGCCGTGGCGTTTGTCCAAACTGGCAACCCCGCTAATAGGCGTTGGACTGGGGTACATGTGATCCTACAGGAAAGCGGGAATATTTCCTGGGGTAGTACAGTTTAAGGCCGCAGCCCCATGTCGTTATGATGAAACCCTCCAATAGATGGACTTGAGTACGACGCATGTACCTAGTACACATGCAAACTCGCAGTTTCTCAACTTCGTGGAGTCGTACCGACGAAGCATCGAGCAGTGGGGCAGATATGCTACGATATGAATTGGCTCTGATGTGGGATCTGAACCAAGGGACACCGCACTGATGCATATCAGTCGATGATCAGGAGCTCTTGGTATTCGACCCGCCACTGCAAAACTGGCAACCCAGGAAACCAGCCTTGCTCAGGTCGCGAGCAAGTTCTTCACTGACTATGGCTGCCAATAACAACGCTTGATCGACACGCATGCCCTAGTTGGGGATCTCCGACTTGGCATGGGCGCGGCATTACATGATGTCTCGCGACCAGGATTCAGTGAAGATGAGCGCCAGTCCAGTTGCGCAGCACCATGCAGCTAAGGTAACAACCAAAGCAAGTAGTGGGACACCTGAGGCATGGTCTTTGTCCAATGATATTCTTTCCTTTTCATCTGTGGGTCGTACGCATGTTGTTGGATATGCAAGCGAAGCATCTGAAGAAGACCAGACGTTGCATTCGGGAGAGGAGACGACATGCGCCAAGCGCGCAATGGTGCCAGCAATTGACACCCAAGCTCTCGGCTGCCTTTTCCCGCTCTTCGACAACCCGTCGAATAGATGCATGATGACTGAGGCATCATTCAAATAGACTTTCTCAGGACAGTGAAGCGCTTGGGTAGCTATTTCTAGCAATCCTACCGGCGCGTTGGATTCTCTCGAATTGTTGATTGGTGGCTGAATGGCTGGCCCGCACGCGCGGCACTTCTGTTCCGAGTACAGAATTGGATGCAGTCAAGGTCATGGTTTGAAGGAGTCAACTGCCTGTTATGTGGGGATGTGAAGGTCTCTAAGTTGGATCGCGTGGCTCAGAGCGGGGTTCGGTCCAGCCTGCCAAGTCTACCACAGTGCCGGTGTCACTGCAGTATGTACGGGTGTGCCTGTTTCGAAACCATACATATGTATGGGCAACATCTTATTTTCTGTTCTGGAAGTGGTCTCTTCCTCCCGAAACTCAACTGGAAAATCATCGAAGCGAACACTAAAATACGGAATCGATTCAGAAAGGGAGTACTAAGAACATCCGATTCGATATCGCGGCTTGCAGTCCGCAAATGATTTGTATCAAATACCTCACGACACATCGACTGACGTGAGCTTGTTATAGACTGCACACATTGTCCTACATGATAGCCACACCGATGTTGTGCTGTAGCAAACTCAACTCACCGTTCTTGAACGAACTACCCGATGTGAACGTGCTCTTCGGCTGAGCAGACCACACTTTGGGAAAACGACAAAGAGGCCAAGTATTAGCCCTTCTCACGCAGACATGACTTGACGACAGTAGAAGGATGACAGAATGGCTTAAGTATGCAAGCCAGTGCTGATAAGTCGACAACAAGCTATATACATCTAACGCTTTCTGTCTAATCGCATACATACAGTTCCCAGTAGATGCAGATAAGGACTGACCTATCAACTCAATATACCTTTAACTAACACTCAGACACGCTATATTAAGTTTTTGCTTTTCTCCGACAAGATGCATCGCACCTGCATTTGCGAAATCGAATCAATCAACGCCCCTGGATTGCAATATCCTTCTCGTCCGCGTACCTGCATATGGGATGCGAGCAATGTCCAGCCTCTGTCCTCGGCTCTTTGCGCTTCCGTTTCCATTTCCAAGCATGAAAACTCCGAAATAGTGGATATTTCTGTCCATGCTCATCTCTCAACAACTAGCATGTTTACCTCTCAGCAGCCGAACACCAACCTCTGGTCGGTCATTGGTTGCACTCGACCTATCAACAGACCAATGATACGAAATTGCCCACCACCACCTTCCAATTGCATCACGCAGCACCGTCTAGCACACTTCTAGCCTCTCCAAAGTCTGACATGCCGCTGGAATAGGATGGCCTCGTGTCGCACTGCATCTCATGATTCTTGTACCTTTCCCAGTCGGGCTCCACTATCAAGTCCGCGACACATAGTCGCGATGCTCCTGCATAAGGTCGCGCGCACCAACCTGCTGATGCCGACAGCTGCCTTGGTCCATGCCATGGTGATCCGTCCCCTGAAGTGCTTATGAACAATGTGCCGCGGACTGTATCTCATGCCTCGGAAATAGTATAAATATCGTACCACGCTGCCGTAGCCGAGTAGCAACACAGTCAGCTGCGGGTTCTGGATAAAATATGAGCTTACTGCAACAGCTCATTCAGTGCGGACTACAGCATACAGCCCTCCTACCCATCACTACAACGGCGTGTCGCTAGACCTTTGAGATTTACAGATCCCAAACAAACTAGTTGGCCGGTGACCCGCGGAAGCGAGACGTCGAACCTGCATTACGCACTTCCAGGATCCAACGTGGAGGAAGACATCAGCTGGAACCGGTCACCGGATTCCGTAAGCATAACTCAAAATTCGATCACCATATACAAGTCAGGCGTATACTTCAGTGGCTGAGGATTTCCAACATCACACACACATAACTCACTCATGGAACCACTACGATCGTACTTTTCAGATCCTCTCTCGCCTTGTTGGACCAGAACTCGACCTCACACCACGACGGAACGCAACCCCAAGTCAGCTGGACTATAGTTAAGACGACAGGAAACAATTTCCATTTTCGACAAATTTTACACACATCTAGTCGCAGTATAGGCTAGAATATCCGAAACCACCGTATCGGCATGCCACATCACATAACAAACTGCGTCTTTGCGCGCACGAGCCTGACAACTTGCGACGTCTTTGTCAGAGCCTTGGCTCACATGAGCCCAAGGGCAGAACTATCACCCGAGGAATTTATACAAGCAGCAAGTCCATGGTTTCTGGATACTGAAACAGTGTGGAGTAGGGTGTTTCTTACGGCCACAGGATGAGAAGTGGGATGGTTTCCGAATAGCGAGAAAAAGAAATTAATTATAGACGCCCTGGATCAAACCCCGGCAACTCCCTACAAAGATGACCGGAAAACAAGGACATCTTCAAAGACGCCTGGACAACACTCTATCGATCCTCCATGATTCCCGGACCTAATTTTACAAGGCGCTATCTAACCCACACCTAATACAACGCCTTACCCACCGCACGCACATCTACCCCCCACTACTCCCCTCCCTCCTCACCCACAACCCCCAAACGACCCCTCCCTTGCTTCTCGCACCAAACCATACTTCTCGTCCCGCTCTCACAGCAATACCATCATACACACCCTTTGCGCTGCAAAACGGGGCTTCCAATACGATCGAGATTATTTCATCGTCAAGCGTGAAAGCGGAAACGGAAGTGTAGCCTAGGCTAGAGAAGCAAAGGAAATCACAGACAAACAACGTGGTTATACGTGAGGGGAGGTGTGGAAGCGGGACTTACAAAGAGAGAGGTTGCGGATACAGGTTTCCAGATTCGAAGGGCGGGAAATCGGTGTTCTTTGCGATATCGTTTGCGAGAAGGCGGTGCTGAGAACTAATACCAGGATAGACATGAGAGATGATAGAAACGCTTTGTTATGTACAGTAGAAATGTAAAATCGATAGAATGAGAAAGAAGATCCTGCATAGATTGATAAAGCCCCTCTTCTTGCCTATTTCAACTCTTTTTTTTGCATGCAAGATGAGGTAATACCAGGTTTACACCAATGTATCTTTTCATTTACTACACTTTTCCTATATCTCTTTCTTAACACGTGGATACACACGTTTTGAAATCTTAGTACGAAAAAAAAACGCTAGTTCTAGCGGGCGCTTTAACTCACTGTACCTTAGGAGAAGATGCATGTGGGGTGCGGGTAGACTATACCGTTTAGGAATGCAGCGAGTAGCGTGGCGGTGGGCGGTGTATAACTTCAGTCAAAGAAAAAAAGGGGCGGCGGGAGGATGGCGAAGGGCAAGGCACGCAAGACGTCATACAGAGTCATATTTAGTGTTGAGAACCAGGTAATTGTATGACTGAATAATTCGTGATTGGAATACTATTCTACGATTTAATTATGGGAAAAAAAAAGGGAGAGCCAAGAGCTATGATTGGTGAGCGAAGATGGAAGAAGAACAAGAAGAAGAAACCCTTGGGAGCCGTGGTGTCGCTCTCCTGCTGCCGACAAACTTTGTCGCTTGGGTATGACCAACACCCCCAACGCCTAAACGATAGTACCTCCATCTACAAAACGTATCGTGACCTTTCTATCTGCATCTGTTATGCTAGACATATATCCCTGGAATCCGCTTGCGCTACCAGGTTGGTGTATTAAAAGCGAGGGGTGTTTAAGCAGGAGAAGCGATTGCGCCGTCACCTAGGACCCTCGCCACCAGGATGTAGAGCATCATTGTGCCAAGGAGAATCCTCCACTTGTTGCGACTCAACCAACTCTGGCCTGCATCCCGTGCTATTTGCGCAGCGTCCTGAACGACCGTTGCGCTGGTACCGGGTCGCCGTCTCAGGCCCGAGACGTCCGGCGAGCAAGGTGGGTGTTGTGCGGGTGAAGGGGCAGGCCGGGGTAAACCCGTGGCGGGATCGATGCGCTTTTCCTTCATCCACCTAAGGTTCTCCTCGTCTACGTCGGGCCATTCGTGTCGGAACTTTGCACCGCCGTCGCCTGCCCTGATGTTGCCGTTTTGACCGCCGGCCGCGTTGCCCGAGCCGATCGCCTTTGTGCCACCACCTGTACTGTTCCACCATCTCGTGCGCTGTGCAAAGAGTTTACGCTCTGCGTCGGATGCGCGGACACTACCCGTCGTCATCTCCTCGCTCGTCATGAAACTCAGCAGGCCAGTGAGGATGGTGCTGACTTCCCAGGCGGGATTGAAGCTCTTAGGGTGAAAGTCGGATATACTCAGGCACAACCGGCTGCTGGGCTGAAAGCGGCCAGAGGGTGTGTGCATGCGAATGGCAGGCGGGGCGAAGGGATAGTCTGGTGGGAAGTTGAGGGTGCCCCAGTACTGTCCGCCCTCGTACGGCGTGTCTGGCGGGCCGGTGATGATGTAGTGCCACTCGAGGATGTTCCGGTCCGAGGGATGTGCGGTAATGTAGGGCGGTGGAGATTTTGAAATGGTGGCATATTCTCTGGTGAGGCGCTTTGTGGCTGCCGGTGTCGCCATGTTGGGTGGGTGTGGTATGTGAAAGGTGGATGGGCTGGGGTTGTCGACGTGGTCCTATCTAGGGAATGGACACTGACGTGCTGTTTGTATGATGGCGACAAAGCAAGAGCAGTTGGCACGATGCGCCTGCTGTAGAAATGGGAGCGCAAACAAGCCGTAGTCTGAACTAAAAGAAGTAGAGGAAAACACAGGCGGTGAGAAAGAGGCAATAGGGACCAAGTAGGACAATGGAGGAGAAAGAAATAGACCGAGTCTGGGGTTTGGGGTCAAACTGTGGTCGGGAAGCAGGCGGCACGTGCGCCCCGACTCAGCCCGCAGCGGGCGATGCAGACTTCAAGGTTTCCGAACGTCTGCCAAGCATCACGCATCCAGACAACACACAGCCCAATGGCTTCGCCGCACGAAGACGATGTACGCAGTCTAGACACTTATTTATAGCTACTGGCGGCTAATTGACTGTCCAGGTCTTCGAAAGGCTCAAGAACAGGACGGACCTGAAGGAGCAGCAGCGACAGCAGGATGAGATCAACGCGCGATTGCAAGCTCAACAACAGCGGGCGCAACAGCGGCTGGGCGAATTGGTATGCGTCATGGAGATTGAGGGATATTAATCAATGGAATTACTAATTCTACTCCAGGTTGAAGACAATACCTCACTGCCAGTGACAATCTCGTCGGTCCGCGTGCTTCATGCCAATCGCACACGAAGAAGTTTCCTTGAGCGGGTGGTTGATCCTCTCCTGAGCGCAAACCGCGCCGAGCCATATACGCTGGAAGAGGCGCTCAAGGAGGTGGGCGAGGCTACCGACAAGCTCAATCGTTTTGGTACGACCCCCACCAACTGCTCGCTTTCACATGTCTGACACCCACCAGGCATCTTCAAGTCGCCAATTTCAGTCTACCTCGATCGCCCCAGCCAGACCATTGCCACATCCTCGCCTACTGATGTCGATGTCTACATCTCGGCCATTGAGCGCGGCAACTACACTATCAAGACCGGAACAGAGGCCGGCGCTTCAGAAGCAGACGCCTATGTCCATGCCGAACTCCGCAATCTGTTTGGGGGAGCAGAGACGCTCAATGCACACGGATCCCTGGGTACACGCACACGTTCCGCCTACTCTCTCGCTTTTGACACGCCCATCCTTGCCAACCCCGATCTCAAGTTCCAACTAAACGGTTTCGCAAGTTCGACACTCAAGAGCTGGGCAAGCCATGAAGAGGTTCTCAAGGGCGGAAACTCGAAGCTGCTATGGAGAATGAAGAATGGAGCTACGCACGAAATTGGTTACTCAGCGATTTGGCGGCAGATTACCAGCCTGGCAGAGAACGCTTCGCCTTCCATCCGCGCCGATGCAGGCGATTCTTTCAAGTCAAGCATTACGCACACCTGGCTCCAGGACAAGCGCGACTACCCCCTCCTTCCCAACAGGGGCTACATGATGAAGAGTGTGTCCGAGCTCGCAGGTTTTGGTCCCCTGAAAGGTGACACAGCCTTTTGGAAGTCCGAAGTTGAGTCACAAGTCGCACTTCCCTTTGGCAACACCGGCATTACTCTTACGGCTGGCCTACGAGGAGGTCTTCTCTACCCTATGAAGCTCGCTGGTGAAAACCAGTACCAGGCTTCCCGCATCAACGACCGCTTCCAGCTTGGTGGCCCCAACAACGTCCGCGGGTTCCGTCTTGCTGGACTTGGTCCCCGTGACGGACCTGATTCGCTAGGCGGTGACATGTATGCAGCTGGTGGGGCATCGCTGCTCCTTCCCATCCCGCGTGTCGGCAAAGAGACTCCCCTCCGTCTTCAAGCTTTCATCAACGGCGGTCGTCTTCTTGCACTCAAGAACCCCAACTCCAAAAAGGAAGATGGATCCTTTGGCAGCTCAAGCGATGTCTACGGCGCTATCCGAAAATCCTTCTCAACCCTCACTGCCGAGATGCCGAGCGCAGCAGCCGGTTTCGGACTTGTGTACGCACATCCAGTTGCACGGTTTGAAATCAACTTTTCCCTACCACTAATCATGAGGGCCAAGGAAGAGAGCAGGAAGGGCTTGAGCTTCGGAGTAGGAATCGAATTCTTGTAGGCAATCTATATATATAGAGAAGAAGATATGTACATGTACTAGTAGGCTCTGTGTTGACTCAAGCAAGCAAGCAGAACACGTTTCACTTTCCGCACCTCCCTTTACTTTCGTGTTGAACGACCTTTGTGACAAGTGTCCTGCTCAAACACCAATAAGGGGGGGGGGCACACCGTAGAAGAAAGGTGGCCACCCATCTAGCTCGCCACCAACTGCGGTCCCTCAAATACCTTCTTAGGATCATACACCGCCTTAAGCTTAACCAGCCTCTCATAATTTTCCCCCCAGTACCTCTTATGCGCCTCATCTTTGGTCAACCTCGGATCCGCATAATTAATATACATGCCAAACTGCTCGCCAGGCGTCGCCTTCTCAATCGCACTGACCCAGCCATCCAGGAACGAAAAGTAACTGCTCTGATACGTATCGTTGTTCATGATGCGGTCGTAGAATTGCATCTTGAACACGGCGTCGCGGTGCGAGTACGCCGTTGCACTGTTTGATACAGCTGAGACGGCCGAGTTCTTGCCGCCGTGCAGGTCAATGAGGAGGTACCAGCCACGGCGAATGTTGACGGTGGTGGTGAAGTAGTAGTCTGCGAGAGCATAGATAGCTTTTTCAGAAAGTGGCTGTGTCATGAGGGACTTGGCGTAGAAGTTCTCGTGGGTGTCGTAGATTTCGGCTTGGGGCAAGGGGCCAAAGGCGAAAGCGGTCAGTGTGTCGATCCAGCCCTTGACGGAGACGGAGGCGCCGGAGCCGGTGCTGTTGGCGCCGATTTTCGACAAGAGGGGAAGCATGACTGCGTCGTAGGAGGCACGGCTGCCGTAGTAGACGCCGGTGAGCTGGCCGGGGACGAAGGTGCGCATGTTTAGCTCTGGGGGTTGGTCGTACAGGCTGAAGTTTTGGAGGGTGGAGAGGACATGGGCGAGTTGAGAGGTGTTGGAGGGGGAGAAGTTGTAGGTGAAGTTGATGATGTTCTCGGGGGCGTCGTAGGTTTTGAACTTGAAGTCGACGACGATACCGAAGGCGCCGCCGGCACCGCGGAGAGCCCAGAAGAGGTCGGGGTTCTCGGTGGCAGAGGCTGTTACGACTCGGCTGTCTGCCAGAACGACCGTCATGGAGATGACTTGGTCGAGGGCGAGACCGTGGGTGCGCGAGGAGAGGCCGTAGCCGCCATGAAGAGTAAGACCTGAGATGCCAACGCTGTAGTGATGGTGTTAGTAAAGGGTTTCTTCAGTGATGGATATTTTTTGCTCTGTTGAAGACTTACCCAGGACAGGTTCCATGGCTGAAGGCTTGCTTTCCTTGAGCATAGAGCTTTGTTGCAATGTCACCCAGTCGTCCACCTGCTCCGATTATAGCAGTATGAGCAACTGGATCGGCAGTGACGCTGTTGAAGCGACGCATGTCAATGACCAAGTGGCCATCCTCTCCTCCGAGACCAAAAGAGGCATAGCTATGTCCTCCGCACTTTGCAGAGACTCGTAGTCCGGCCGCAACACTGCAGGCTACGGCGTCTTGGATGTGCTTGATAGTCGATGGCACAGCATAAGAGGCAGGCGTGATAGGCACACGAAGGTTGAACGGCTTTATTGCCTGAGTGTAGTTGCCAGTGCTCTTGGCGAAAACGGGTACACCATGAGAGGCAAGGCACTCGTCAACAGTAGCACGCTTGTCGAGGGGGTTGGCAAGTGTGGTGGTGGAAAGAAGCGTAGCCAAGGCCACGAACCAAGTAGAACAAGCTTTCATGCTGAAGAGGGGTAGGAATAGACTTCACAGCAGCTATTGAGAGTGATCGACTATAATTGTAGTCATCCCATTGCTTAAGTGTTTCTTGTGCCCCCAGGAATGGGGAAATTGACCAACACACCCTACTTTGCGAACTGTACTCTAGCAAAGAAGGTCACGGCTTGAAATGAGCGGATCACGCGAAGAAGCATCCACACAAACTTTCGAGATGCAGCCGCGTATATTTTGCAAGGAAAAAGGTCCACAAGTTTTTCTTGGTTCTCCATCGGAACCATGAAGGCGCGCCCGATAGCACGCCAAGTATAGGCCGGTGTTGCGTATAACATGACTGCATCATCCGACAAGATGGTGGGCGGGGAGCACCGTGTGTAAGTACTAGGAGAGGAGATTTCATCGTTCTGACATCATCCGTGTGGGGATTGGCGGAGAGGAAGACTAGATATTGACTGATTGTCTAAAACTCGACAAGGTCTTAGGTGATGGACGACAAGGCTCTCTTTGCCGGCATATACGAGCCTGAGGGCGGGGCTTGGCGGGGGCGGCAGCGGCAGCCATGTTCCCGGCCAACGGCGCTGCCAAGCCGCGCCCCTAAATTTATATCCGACACGTGAGTGACATAGCCGGTATACATAGTTGTTTAATTTCCCCAGCTTGATCTACTCGGCCACGCCATCCGGCTGAAACAAATCATCCCCCCGTCCAAACATGGCCTCAGATTACGATAAATTGTCCGCTGTGTCGTCTTTAACCGGCTTGGAATTGCATGCTTCTCCACAGGGAAGCTTTCCCCCGTCCTGCACTCCCATCTCATGCTGCAGCCCGGCTCTTTAGCCCGCGCCGGTTGTGGCTGCGTGTTTCAGCGTGCCCGGTGGGAATTCTCCTCTGCGTGCGCGTGCCATTAACTTTATCATGGCGGAGATTCGAGAGGGACACAATGCAAGCCTACAAAACCGCACCATTGCCCGCAGTCTGAGGCCCACACCAGTCTGTCTCCATCGTCACTCATTATGCTGTCTACCAACCCCCTTCTTCTGCCGCTCTTCGGCTCCGTTGCGAGCGCCGCCAACCTATGGGCTAGCCATTACTCGGGTACCCTCAACTACCTCACTTTTAGCGGAAACTCCTTGACTCTGAGCGGCTCAACACCTACCGGCAATAATTTGCCAAGCTGGCTTACATACGACCATGCGGGAAAGGCCATCTACGTTGCAGACGAAATCTTCACGGGTCAGAGCGGGGGAAATCTCGTGTCCTTTGCTGTCGGCAACAACGGTACCTTGAGCTCGCAAAGAAAAGTCCCGACCCCTCAGGGCGTCGTCGCAACGACGCTCTATGGTGGTTCTGACGGGCGAGGCTTTATTGCCAATGCTCACTAGTAGGTCAACACGCTCTCCACATGTCAGCAGCTGCTAACCTCCAAACAGCCAAACTTCCCAACTGACGACTTTCAAGCTGCCATTGGACGGCCAGCAGCCACTGCAGACAATCAAGTACGTTGGCAAGAGTGTCAACCCTTACCGACAGGAGGCTGCTCATCCCCACCACGCCTTTGTGGACCCAACTGGAGATTTCCTCATTGTGCCGGATCTTGGATCCGATCTCATCCGTATTCACAAGATTGACAAGAATTCGGGAAAGCTCACGGAATGCACCCCTGCAAAGCCCGTTCCTGGAACCGGACCCCGCCACGGCGTCTTCTGGAAGCCCTCGGCGAAATCCTCCCGAATCCGACAAGCTGGAGCCAACACGGTTCTCTTCATCGCCAATGAGCTGTCCAACAGCATCTCTGGATGGGCTGTATCCTACCCCTCTGGAGGATGCCTGACTTTGACCCTCAAGCAAACATTGACCCCATACCAAGGCAACGCCACCGCCGTTACCGGTACCAAGGTTGGCGAGATCCACGTCAAGGACCAATACGTCTACATTTCCAACCGAAACGACAAGAAGTTTAATGGCCAAGACTCCATTACTCAGTACACCATTGACTCCACCGGAGGTCTTACGTGGACTGATCTTACTTCGTCTCACGGCACTTATCCCCGCACTTTTGACATCAACAAGGCGGGCGACTTCGTGGCCATTGGCGACCAGACCACTGCAAATGTCGCTATTGTTACCAGAGATGTCAAGACTGGCAAGCTCGGCCAGAAAGTAGCTGACTTGAGGATTGGTGCTGCCGGCAGACCTGAGAACGAGGACGGTCTGAGCGCTGTTGTATGGGCCGAGTAGTAAGCCGTATGTCAATCTTACTGTGTGATCAATTGGCAGGTAGAGATTCATGTACATAAGCACTAAAGCAAGTTTGGTTGCATACAGGCCCGGGGGGGGGGGGGGGGTTCCAAGAGAGCGGAGAGACTCTATACTGTATTTAGCCACGAGAACTAGCCTTGGTATATATTTACAAGACTACACTATTTAGCGTCGTATTACTTTTTTCTACTGTATCAAGTGCATCTAAAGGAGAAGAGCCTTAAAATCATTCATTTTGGCCCGTCTTCACTTGTGAAGAAGAGTTTAGCCTTGTAACTGTAGTGTAACAAACTACTTCCCATTCCCTTCCGCGTTAAAGGGCTGCATCTAGCTGTGGCTGCTCGTTTATCCCTGGCATGAGCTACCTAACAATCAAAGTTGCACTGTATAGCATCATAATTGCTACCCCCCGTACCAAAGCAGTCTCCCTGGGTGTACGAACGCCCATTGTACTGGAACCTTACTCCGGAAATAGTCCGCGTACCAATATTGTAGGCACCAAAATACAAGTGCGGGCCGTACGTCGTGGTGAAATCCGCACTCCATCCATTGCCTCCTCCTTCCGCCTTCAATTTCCCATTTGCAATAATGTTATCGCAGCTACCGCCGACGACCTTGACACCACGGCCTGTTGTAGATGATCCGGGGATTCCGAGAGATGCCATTAGAACCCATACGATAACTGCACACTTGTGCGCGCTGGGGGCTTTGCATTGGACATCGCGAGCCTGGAATGGAATGAGGTGCATATCCTGAAGCGTTATTGGAAAGGGTTTTGTTACCTCAATAGATGAAGGTAAACGATGTTCCAGATCTATCACTGATGCTTCGATAGCGTTGGCAAGCATGGCCATTCCCACGATGCTAGAAAGCTTCATATCGGAGAGCGGATACTTTGTTGGCGTCTGTGTTTTAGAGGGAAAAGGTGCCGCTCAGTGGTTAAGTACGTTGTGTAAAGGAGGACCGATGACAAGAATCTCAAAGTGCTGCAGAAGCTGTCATGTCTTGAACCAGTGGCATTATATACTCCATTCTGGCATTCAACTACGCTCTCATGCCTGGGCTGATAGGATCGGATTGTTAGGCAATGTAACGTTAACGTTGGGCCTTCAGCGGTAAGGATTATACGTGGAGATAGAGTGAAACTTGCTCGTGTTGTAAACCTCCCTGATAACAAGAATTCGACATACGAGGTCGGAGTTGAAAAGCATACTTCAGCAATGTTCCCCTCACCTGGAATACTAACTCAGCTCCGCTAGACTTGAAACCACCATAATTTATATCAGCGCTGATCGTTGTAGTAATTCGGCGGAGAACCTAGTTAAAAGGCCACGCGTTGTAACCTTTGTTATATAGATAGAGCTAGATTTCGGTTCACCTACTATACCTGTGAAAGAGTAACTACTCGGCTCTCTAAGAATAGAATTATGTGTCACTAGTAACGTTGATCACGAGTCATCTGCCGCTATGCCTGGCAGTAATTCATGACTGACTTAATGTTTTTTGTTTACGTTTGCTATATAGCGTATCAGATCAATTATCTCGGAAAAGAATGGCAAGCCACATCCCAACTTGCCGGAATCGGTTATCAAAAAAAGATTGACTTTGCAATCAGGGTAAAAGGGTTCGAATGAAACTCAGCAAGACCCTCGCTTGAACCCGTAATCCATGTTGTAGGTGGATTAACTACTGTAACACTTACCGTGCACATGGCTTCCTTGGCATTATAGTAAGCACGCTACGTGCCGTTGGTACGAGAACTCTATTCGGGAAGCTGATGGGAAGGCCGGGTTATTAGATACGATGTATATGTTATATTCTTATTTAAAATTTGGGCTAATTGGACTGATGACATTCATGTTCGTGGAGAAATCGTTTATCGGGGCGAAAGGTGTGAATGATGTGATCCGCCAAGACGCTAGGACGCTAATTAGCAGTCATGATTTCCGTGCTAGTAGGAGCTATATCACTTTCATGCTCTGTATACAAGCTATGTGCCGTGTCCTACAGCCGAGCAAATAAAGGTATCGGCATCATAACTCTGTGGAGGCGGCATGTACACAACTCAAGCACAATTCTTCGAAAACCTACATGTACCAATCCCACTGATTACAATAAAGATTCATAACCCCCTCACGCCCTACACTACAGTTCACAGTATTTGCAGAAAGGGTAGAGAACGTCTGCTATTGTGATTTCTTATCACCCAAAAGCTGAGATCACTGATAATTAGTCACTGACTGATTCAAATCCTTGCGTTAATTGAAGCCAATACTGAGTATACTGGCAAGTCTTCCACGGTCGACTGTTCATTAAGCTCTCCTTTTACAGCATATTAGCATTCAAAACAAGCACTAATCACAGAGAACACCTAGAATTTCATCAGAACTAATACCAACGAACAAGCATAGAGCACACATGGCGTCTGGAATAGATCCATGAATCATCGATCGAATAGTGTTGATTTCTACGTACGTTGCGAGACTGAATTGGACATTCCATTGCGAAGAGCCAGGTAAAAACGCTAAAATTAGACTGCTGAAACGGCCATCATTACCATGTCTGCACGTCAGCTCCTTGTATATCGAGCTCGTCGATCCTGTTCCAAGGGAATTTTAATGTTCACCCATGACCGAAATCAGGCTCACAGCAACATCTTTCAGACCATGATATTTATGCATGTAGTACATGGCGTCTGCTGGTAAAATGTTTTCTCCTAGGTTGATTCTTCAGGAGATCATGGGAATGCCTAGGCTGTGGATTTGATAGATGAGCTGAATACTACAACAGTATGAAAGACTTCTAATACGTTTACGATAATAGGTAATGTGTTTTTTAACGAAGCGCAATGTTTTTTAAAGATACATTATAAGAAGAGGGCGAGCTTGAAGTGACTTATATCACGAGTCGCTCATATCATGACAACTTGCTGATGGGAATATCTACGATAATCGTATTTGCGGGAAAGATTATAACTTTGAGGTTTTTTGTGTGGTGCCGATAGTGATCTCATTCAAACAAGACCAAACTAGAAACCACCACCATGACTTCTAGTAACCATCATCCATATCAATATCTGTCCCAATGTCCCCATCAAGGAAGTCAACACTCCTTTGTACCTACCACCACCCATCCTCTTCCCCTCACATCCATCCCCCCTCCCTATTCCACCCCAGTAATTCCCGATTATTCTCCCCACTAACATTCTTACCCAGCATGTCCCAAACCGTCAACTTCCTCACAAACTTCGCCAGTCTCCCCGCCACAGCCCCATCATCCCACGCCCACATCATCAGCGACTTCGCCTGCGGCACCTCGACTCCCCACATCCAAGACGCCATCGTCACTCTCGTCTACAAAATCTCACCCAGCACACTCTTCACATTCCTCGAACCCGACATCAAAGAATTCCAACTCGTGCAGACGCGCAGGCAAGGCAAGGACGCAGGCGAGAAGCTCGTAGTTATGAAACGAGGCCGTAAAGTCATTGTACGAAAAATCTACGATCCTACGAACCCACTCTCGCCCAAAGCTTGACTTTATACATTTTACCATGACCTAATCAAAGCACTTTAAACCACCGTGTATCATTAACGCTGCACAAGATAGGTCTCGCAAACCCCTCCCCAGACCTCTTCGACACCCTCGAATTCGACAATCTCGTTCGCTTGGAAATCGACAAAGAGGGAGCGTGGAAAGTCATGTATGCGTCGTATCGTGATTACTTTCGCGAGAGCTGGGATGATGTTTGGGATGGTATAACGGTGAATCGGGGGTGGGATGATCTTAGTCTCAGGGCTTGGGTGGAGGACCCGAGGTCGGAGAGTAGGAGAAGGTTGGAGATTTTGGCGGATGAATTGATGTGGGTGGTGCTGAGGGGGAGGGTGTGGGAGGTAGGGGGGTTTGCGTCGACGCTCGTTACTGGGTAGTGAGGGTGACGAGATGGAGGTTTGGGTCAATTCTGGTTTGGTTACAGGAGTTGGGTTATCTGTGTGTGGTGTGCTGCATCGAGTACATCAATTCGCTAATGTTTGCGTACGTGCACAAAATTTCTACCCATCCACTTCGTTTCCTCAATTGGCATCCAATGTATAATGCGTTGAAAGGCTGATAGACTTCGATATTTCATGCTAATCATCAATTTGATTGGTTTTCTCAGCAACGTGTTCTCCCAGTTGTGTTATATAATTCATTTCTTGGAAGCCATGTACACCTTCACGCAATAACAAGCGATAATCTTGAATTTAGTTGTATCCAGTGATTAGAGATTACGCCATTGCAAATACTAACCATTTCAAATACCGTATATACTCTGTCAAATCTCACTGATTCCTTCATCTCTCATCGTTGTTCAACTGCATTAAAGTGTCACACTCATCACCTCACCTCACCTCACCCATCTCATCATTCACCAGTAGCCCAATCTCCCAACCCTCCCATATAAACTCCAAACACTCCCAGCACCTCCAAATCCAAACCACCCAACCAAAAGAACTTCAATTCATCCACTCTCATCTGCAAATCCAACTAAAAAAACCCAATCAACAATGCCCTCCAAAACCACCTCCACCACAACGAACCTCTCCACACACCCCCACCACTCCATCCAGCAGGGCCCTCAACTCCCCCACCAAACCCTCCCCATCAACGAGCGACAACAAAACCTCAAACTACACCACCGCCTTCCCATCCCTCCCCCCTTCTACCCCAGCAACCCACGCCCACATCCTCAACCTCCACTCCCCTCCTCCCGCGCACCCAACCCTACAAGACACACTCGTAGCAACCCTCTACCACACCTCTCCAGAAACGCTATCCCGCTTCCTAGACCCCACGGTGGATAATTTCAAGGAGATACTCGGAAAAAAAGGGGGGATGTGAAGTTGGTGATTTGGCGTAAGGGGGGGTTGAAGTATTCGTATGTTCCCCTTCTTGAAATCCCTTTTTTTCCCCTCCTCCCTCCTTATCCCCCTTCCTCCTTTGTCCTTCTCCCCCGTATTTCCCACCCGAAGCTAACAAGAAACGTGGAAAAAAAACACAGATCGGCACATTCCAACATCACACACAACCCAAGGCGTTTCGCTTCACGCATCTCGCGGGTTTGCTGGTTGGATACGATGGGAGTTGGCGTGTTATGTGTGTGTGTGTGTGGCGGCGAATGCGTATTGCGCGACGAGATGGAGTGAGGTTTGGGCTGGGAAGTTTGAGTTTAAGGAGGGTGTGGAGGTGATGAGGGTTTGGGGTGGGGATGAGGTGGAGAAGGGGGTTAGGGAGATGGTGGGGATGGTGCTTGCGGGGAGGTTCTGGGAGGGGATGATGGGGAAGTAGTGGTGGGAAGTATTCGAGGAACAAAGATACGAACGAAGAGATGAGCAGGATATGCGATTCCAAGGGAAGATATCCACAAGTCTCTATTGGATGCCAGAGGTGACGTATAATGATATGAGAGAAAAAAAGAAACATAGGGTGTATATGCAAAACGCCATCGTAAAAGGGACCAACCGTCTATCCAAAACTCAGTTGACCCCAATTCATATCTCAATGCCCCGCTCATTGTGCAGAGGAGAGAAAATTCCCTTTTCCTCGAAAAAAAAAGAAGAACTTATTCGTCTAATGGGCACCACAACGCCAGACGCAAATGTGACAGTATCTAAACAACGACACACGAAAAATCACCATGTCCCAGGTCCAAACGTCTCTCCCTTCGGGACTTCCTTATAAGGACAAGCCTGCCAATCGCAGCCCTATTCAAAAATTAGCAACATACATCAACCACACAACAGACGACAAATATGTTACCTGCTTATAAACCTCGGTACCCCACCACTTAAACCCGCTCATCCACCCAGGGTACACGATACCGAAGAAAATAACGACAACACCAAAGGCAAGCCCAGAATCCAGGGCAGCACTAAGCATCATATTATACTTTTTCCACCAGGCATTGCGTCGATTCTTGATCTCGTAGTTGAAAAGATAGCACACCATTGCCCAGACGGAAAAGTTGAGGCCGGTAGCCGGTGGGATCCAGCTTAGGCTGCCGAATACGACGGCGAGGTTTACTTTGCTAAGGATGGACTTGCGGTCGCCGCGGGCAAGGTAGTAGAGGATGACGGGGGCGATAGCGCCGACGGGGAAGGCCCAGACGAGGTGTTGGTAGAGGGCGCCTGGGCCGAAGAATTTGCCGGGTCCGACGACGCCCCATAGGATGCTGCCGTTGAAGTGGACACGGGCGATGGGGCAGTTGAAGCCGTTGATGGCGTCGGGGGTGCAAATGCCGGGGATGTAGTTGAGCATCCAGTTGAGCACGCCGATTTGGGTCAGACTGGATACGATGGTCACAATAAGCTGCAGTTTGAACAGGATTCGTGGGGGAATCTTCATGTAGTGGCCGAGCTTGAGGTCGGATGCAAACTTCAAACCTTGCGTCGCGGAGATGTAGCCAAATGTAGTGAATACCATATTGGCGACGGGACGACCGGGGAATACGACGCCGCAGATGAGCTGGCAGATGAGGTAGATGCTGCTTTGTTGGTTCGTAATGGCCATGACAATGCCGATTGGGATAAAGAGTACCGCACCGATTCCGAGTGCGAGCAAGAGACCGTACCAGGGGAGATAGACAGGGTAGTACTCGACAACGAACATACCCACAGCTGCCATGCTGACACCAGTGAACAGATACCAAGAAATCGGCACATCTTCGTATCTTCTCATCAGGCGGTTGTGGACATCTTCGGCCGACAAAAGGTCCTCGACATCCGGCTCAGAATTTGGACTAGGTCTTTGTAGAAACCCAGCAGGAGACGCAGGACATGCGTTGTCTTCGGAACTAGTGGTCAATGGCTGATAATCAGCTGCTGATTCTTTTCTGATTTCGGCCCATGAGCGACGCCACTGCCTCCAAATATCCTTTCCGTACCAAAGCCCCGTATGCGAGAGCAGAGCGGTGAGGCCGGCGAATTGCAGAGCATAACTGAGCACATATGTAATGGGAAGGTATACTCGGCTGTACTTTCGGTACGCCTCTTCGTCAAACAGGAAATTCTCGGTCAAAATCTTGCTGACGTCGTATGGCTTTCCGCGGTTGTCCCAAACGGCAGAGGATAGAATGGGCATGTATGACGAGTAGAGGACGTTTTTGTAATCTCCACATTGTCAGCACCTCAGGAAGGAAGTTACCGTGGCATACTTACACATTATTGGCGCTGCAATCCACATGACGCCGACAAGACCTCCAAGAATGTTCATGGCAGCCCAAAACGGCGTAATCAGCGGAGATCCAATATATGCAATTTGTGCCCAATCAAAGGTGACAGGAAATAATCCAAGACCGGATGAGATTCCAAACTGCAATGCATAAGTATGGTGTGCGGTGTTTCTTCATGTTCATGTTTAACATACCAGGTTAGCAACAACAACATTCTTGGGTGCAAACCAAGTGAGTACGTTGAAGTAACTCAATGCAGGGAAGAGTAAGCCGGGAAGGAAGTAAAAAGCAACGGATCCTAGGAATATGCGGACAAAAAACTTGCGCGGCGCAATGTTCCAGCCATCAGCTGGTTTATTCTCGTCTTTGTGAAGTGCAGTGAACATGGCTGTAGAAACCAATGTGCTTGGCCAGATCATGCCGCTTGGCCGGACGAGATAGCGCCTGGTGATGCCAGCAAGGGAGTAGCCCAGGATTTGGGTTGAGAGGATGAGCAGCACTTGGTACATGATGCCAAGGTCCTGACGGTAGAACTTGACCTGCTCAACAATGACCTGTAGATGTCAGTATCAGAAATGGGCATTTTGCCAGGTTACACACGTCAGTTGCAAAGGCAAAGCCAAAAGACACATTGCTGCTGACGTATACGCAGCAATGCTCTTTTTCATTCCAGCGGCCTTGGGCAAGCCAAAGACGTATGCGACGTGTCCAGCTGGATTTTGCACTTAATTGGGGTGAGGTCGTCTGGACGCACCCATCGACAAAGGTTTCTTCGGGGTCGCTTGAACGCTTAAAGAGTTGGTCCCAAAATAGGCCCATGGGGTGGACGAGTAGTAATGCAATAATAGGAGTAAGGCTAACGCTAGGGTATCGTAGGGAAAAGAAGAGGTTGGTAGAAGAGCCAGCAATGGAGAAGAGGATGGACAGGAACCACATGCGAGGGGTATCAATGGACAAGGAGAGGTTGTCGGTAGCGGCTACGGATGCTCTTACTTGAGCGTAGGGCGAGTTGTCGGAAGGGTTTCCCTTCATATCGTGCAAATCAGCGCCGTGGTCCTCGTCTGAGGCTTCATCATCGTCTAGCGTAGTGCTTGAAGAGGCAGAGCTGTCAAACAATGGGGCGCCGGCGGTGGAAGGGTCGAGGCCGCTTGCGTTGAATTTTGCCTCGAAACGAGATTCCTCGTGCCCAGCAGAGGCTACACCAAGCGTTGTGCTGCTACGACTAGCGTCTCCTGTCCTGCGACGCGACCCAGCGGCGCCCAGTAATGAATCACCATTGGAAAGCCTACTCTTACCCTTTTTCTTTGGCAAGGCCCCAGCTATATGATTTTGGTCAGGTTCGTCAGGGCTCGACGAAAGAATGGGCAGGACGCCATATGAGCCTGGCGGTGCGGTCAGCACGTGCTGCAGGAAAAAGGGCAGTGGGCCAGTCTTGTGCGCCGTTGCTCGTGTGCGCCCATCTAAAGGGGGCGAAGAGGCGAAGGGAGAGCAGTGGATAGAGCGCGTCGCAAATAATAATTAGCTTACCTGTACCCTGGGCTGGGCTGGACCTCACCAGGAGGGGCACTCTTGACATGGTTTTCGTGAGAGATTGGGGAGAGTTGTGGGAGCGTTCAGCTGGCAGATCAAGGTCGTCATCAGAGCTGGATTGGGATGTGTGCAAGAGTGTTGCTTTTGCTGGGAGGACCTGTAACTCGACGCTGACAGTCACGGTCGCAGGCACGGGACGGGACGGGTGGCGCGTGTGTCCGGGAGGATAGGCAGGCGAGGGAGCAGCAAGTGGCAGGAGCGACTCGTGCCCGGCCTCGTCATCCATATGTACTGAGGGGCGCATCCACAAATGTCGCCAGGAGGGTGCGAGTGGTCCTGTTTGTCACGCCTAGACAGCTTCACGCGGGAAGATAATCAGATGATCAGATAATATTCCACAAGGCGCCGCTGGATTGGGCCGTAATTCTATTCTTTGCACCATCTGATTAGGCAGAACCGCGGCCGAGCCACCATGACGTGAACAAGGCTGGGCCACAGCCAATGGCGCGTGCAGACTCTTTACATTACGCGGTTAGATCCGAACGGCCATGTGGGCGTGGGGGGCCCATCAAACCACTGCCGTGCGCGCCAGCCGCCGCCTGCAGGTCACGGCCTCCTACCTGCATGCCAGTGTGCGCCCCGGCTATCTATGTACTGCGTAGAGCCACAGCGCATCGCCATGTAGCACCTGTCCGACTTTGTTTTTCTCCCTCATACATATATATCGCCTATGGCATAGTCGCATGTTTGTACAGCGCACCCGCACCTACATGACTCCCCTCAATGTGACGTAACCTCTTCTTCCTTCACATGCACATGACCAGCTACGCCCGCATGGCCATTGGCTCGACTACCGGCGGTGAGGCTCTCAACCATCTTGATAGCGCCCTCGGTGTCGTCCTTGTTGTACAGAAACAATCCCTGCAGCGATGCAGTACTTACTGCATCCACGAGCCCTAGCTCTCTGGCCCTGGCCATAAATCTCTGCTTCGCTTCCCCACTTGCATCGAAATCGGCGTAGAACCGATCCCAGAGCTGTTCGATCTGGTACTCCGTCGCCTCACCCAGTCGCACAGTCATGTCCACGCGTCCTGGCCTCACAAGCGCCTCATCCAGCCTCTCGATATGGTTCGTCGTCAAGAAGATGATGCGCTCTTCAGCACTAGCCACACCGTCCAAGGCGTTGAGCAGCCCGGAGAATGTAACTGATGCGCTCGCGTATCCATCAGCGCCCGGAGTTTTCCGGTTCATAAAGGCAACGTCCACGTCCTCGAGCAGCACGACGGTGCGACGTGGGACCTTGGTCAGCAGGTGGTTCAGCCGGTCGTCGGTGAGGCCCCGCTCGCTGACATTGAGAATGGCAATGTTGAAATCGAGGTGACCTGCAACTGCCTGGATAAACGAGCTCTTACCGGTACCAGGAGGACCGTACAGCAGATAGCCTCTTCGGTAGGGTATGCCCCGGTCCAAGTACCATTTGCGTGACGAGATGAAGGCCTCCATATCTTCTACAATTCTCTCTTTGACTCCGCGCTCGAGAACGACCGAGTCGAGCGGGCGCTTCCGCTTTGCATCGCCAAATTGCTGCCACATGGTGCCCATTGAGTTGTATATGACCGTCTTGCCCTCGTGTGACTGCTGGTATATTTGGTGCGCCTCGGCGAAGATGTCCTCGAAGACATGACGATGCGAGTACAGGGTCGTGAGGCTGATAGTCTCAAAGGGCACGCCGTCCTTGACATTGAGGCTATTTCGTTCCCGCTGCCGGTCAACTAGGATGAAGGCGTTGTTGTAGCGCAAGAAGTGCTTGCCCGGTCCGGGGACAAAGGAGAAGTGGGCGGCGTGCGAAGGCCCGTCGGGAGGGGTGTATGTTTGCACCTGCAGATGGTGCATGCGCGGGTCGATGCGATTGAGGATTTTGGCGAGTACAGTGTTTTGAGCCAGCGGCCTGGCCCCGGCTTGCTGTGCGCGGTGATAGTTGGTCATCCATTGCAGGACCCAGGGATAGGCATCGTCATGGCGGGTGATTTCGAGGTCGACGAGCATGCGGCGTTTAATGAATGCGGCGCCATGCTGCAATCCTTTCTGGCCCGTCCGCGCCGCAACCCCAAGCGCTGCGAGGCCGAAGCCCTATGGCATGAGTGAGCACAGGTCGAGCATGGCAGGCATGGGCGGCAGAGGTCAATTCATACGGCGGTGAAGAAGGGATTGTCGGCAGCCTGGGAAAACAGCGATGCTGAGCTGTCGCCCCGAGCAGCAGTCATCTGCCGTGCCAGCTGGTGTTGTGGCGTGTTGGGTTCCATGGGCGGGAGAGAGATTGGCTTGCACACAAATTTGATAGGCCATGGACGCTAGCGCGGGACATCCAACTACACACACCAGGGCGCGTGCGCATGTCACACAGCTACGGCTCAGCTCCAGCACCCTGAGTTGCCTGAGACAGATAAGACTCTGTATGCGCACTGCATGTCTATCCATGCATACATACACATACAATATGTACATGTGTTTGCATCCGGGCATCTAGATAAAAAATATATCTTGCGTGGTGTGGCTTGCAGCAAGGTCCAAGAAGTCGTGCAGCTGCATGGAGAATCCGGGGTCGCGGAAGACGATCGCTCTTTCCCACAGCTGCGGAGGGGTGGAGCACTAGGGCGGCGCTTGGACCGACCCCTTCCCCCATTACTGATAACCATGACAGCCGCCTGTGTGCCCATTCACCTGCCTTGACTCTTGTACTGACGCCTCTGCCTCTGGCTGCGAGCCTCAGTCCTTCTTCTCCTATGCTCCATGGCCACCGTAACAATCGGAAGACCCTATTTTGACGCCCTCTTGCGCAGGTATGTCCTTGCACCACTTGGCTGAGACCACCCGTCCATATGGCCTCTGCTGACTAGACCCATAGGGCCGAATTAGTTAGTCCTCGTCCCTGGCCCAGATGCCACCTGCGCTAACGGACACGGCCAGCATGCTCCCACTCAGCATGTCAAGTACGGCACTGATCTCTACAGCAATGTCACCATCAGCAAGGCTGAGCACGACTACATGGTGCGCCTCCTGTGGCACAGCATTGCTACCTGCTGCCAATATGCTTTCTAGCTCATGCACTAACAGACCGCCGATTCTAGGTTCAAGCACTACGAGAGTACCGTATGTACTTATGCCCCACTCCAAGCCGCATGCTAGCTATAGTTTTACTATGCCCCCCACATATTACAGAGTAGCCTCTCAGTTTGCTTAGATCTTCTCAAAAGCGCTCTGTTCCGCGGGGGCCTGACGGTCGAGACACTGGATACCCTTCTTCAAGACGAGGGCACTGCCACAAACGAAGAGCCGTTAGGATACGATTACGAGTCAGAGACTGCGCCCGTCCGGGCCAGAACCAGAGCACTCGCAGGCACAGAACATGAGCGACATACGATCAGTCAAGACGCACACTCGGCAGCATCTCCTCATCAACGCCTTCGTGGTTCTGGAGAGACCGGGACTTTCACCTATGGTACAGAGAGCCAACTAGATGACGATGAAGACGACCAGACCCAGTCCCCGAGTCAGCTAATTCCGCTTCATGCCCAGCGGACTGTACTAATCACGAACCTACCGGAACGCACTACCCACAAAGACTTGGCAAACATCGTACGAGGTGGTAGGCTCTTGGACATATTCCTTCGCCACGATCGATCAGCCACCATCTCCTTCGTTGAAGGTGCAAGCGAATTTCTTGCATATGCCAAGCGTAACGATATATACCTGCACATGAAAAGGGTAAGTTGTAGTCTGCTAGTTTTTTTTGGTCTTTTGGATTCTACGCTGACTCCATCAGCTCGACTTCCGCTGGAACGATAGACAATTCTACGTGCCCTCACACGTAGCTATCAAGATTTCCAATGGAGCCACTCGGAACCTCGTAGTACGAAACATTGCAGGGAAACTTACGGCAGATCAGATCAAGGATCACATAGACCATATCCACAACCTAGTCGTGGTCCACATCTACTTCAAGAACGGAGATGCACACATATCCACCAATTCCATCCACAACGCCCTCTTCGCCAGGACCTGCATGATGTCGCGCACTGTATACAAAGGCGCACGCATTGAATACTACCCAGACGAATGCGCTCAGCCACTCCCCCAGCCTACCAAAGTTCATACCCAACCTCAACGCGCCCCCACGAAACCCGCACCTCTCGTCAACCAATATGCTCTTCTGGACATCGGATCAGATGATGACTCCGAGTCTGATGAAGACTCATATGGGATCCACGGTGTGCAGGTTGGTGGCTGTCGTTTGCCCAATGGTGTAGCAGTATAGGCCACTTGACAAGTAGCTGCTCACCTGTTCCGGCTCAGTGCAGCTAGAAACTATAGTGGCCTTAATGCACATGCTTGCTCAGAAGCAAGTCAAGCGGGGCTAGCCCTCTCTACAGCCTGTCAACCTTGAAGAGGCCGGCGTCGAATTTCGACTACTTTGAGCATTTCCCAAAGAGAATTAGAGTCGCATAAGATACGGGCGGTTGCTACAAATTTTGCATTACTAGGTGGGCTTAGTAAGCAGAGTGGTCGTATGCGTATCGCTGGGTCAATCTAGCGCGGTAATTTATATACCTACTCGAAGCGATGGTTTGGTTCCTTTTTTTCTCCTGTATCGATACCTTCAACGTTTGTACTTCCCCTGGCGAGACTCTGCGCTTAATAATAGATTGTGATAGCCTTTCCAGTCTCTCAGCTCCTGCCAAGTGTGGCATGGAGACTTGTTTGCTGTCATGTCAAGGATGCCCACTAATGCAGCTCGTTTAGTTTTAGCAACGATTAGCTCTGCATGAGTTGCATGTCACTGCAGCCGCTGTATTATCGTGCATATCCCCGCCTGACTACGATAAAGCACGCGAAGCTGAACTTGAACATCACATCACTTTGGCGTCGGATCAGAACGCCAGAAAACAGGAAGGAACATGGCACCAATTGTCAAAGTAGCAGTCATTCAACTGTATCCAAAAGTATGTGCTTGTTACCCCACCTTACCCCACCCCCGCCTCCACCTCCACTTCACCTTTGATCGTGTTATGCACAACGCATTGCACGGGCACTGTGGCTGACCTTGGTAGCCTCTGCAACCCGAGCACAATTTCAACAAAGCAGAAGCACTTATCCGCTCTGCAGCCGCCCAGGGCGCGGAGCTTGCCGTCTTGCCTGAATACCACCTGACCAACTGGAAGCCCAAGGATCCAGAGTTTCTGGCTGTGGTGGAAAGGTGCTCGGACTATGTGAAGAAATACCAACAGCTCGCCAAAGAATGTGGAATATGTGAGTTGGCGAGACACTTTGATTGAGTCATTGGCTGCAGAGACTACAGGTCACTAACAAAAGGATCCCAAAAGGCATTGTCCCAGGCACGATTGTAGAGAGCCACAAGGAGAATGAAAAAGAGCAGGACAGATTGCTGAACGTATGTTACTTTATCGACCAACAGGGTAACATTATCGGCAAATACATCAAGAAGAACCTCTGGGGCCCTGAGCGTGACCATCTCACAGGCTCGGGCCGCGACTTGCATGAGGTGTTTGATACACCCGTGGGCAAAGTAGGGTTACTGATATGCTGGGATCTTGCCTTTCCCGAGGCATTCCGCGAGCTTATCGCTCAGGGCGCAAAGATCATCATCATCCCTACTTTCTGGACGCTGAATGATTGTAATGAGGCGGGACTCCAGCAGAACCCTGCGGCCGAGGCGCTCTTCCTCAACTCGATACTCACCGCTCGGGCGTTTGAGAATACGTGCGCCATTATTTTTGCGAATGCGGGAGGACCTCCGGGCAAGGGGTATGCTGGGCTGAGCCAAGTGACTGTGCCGTTTGTAGGCCCGCTGACAAAGCTGGGAGGCGCCGCAGAGGGCATGAGTGTTGTTGACATTGACATGCAAGTGCTAGAAGATGCGGAGGCCAATTACCAAGTTAGGGCTGATTTGGCAAAGGATGATTGGCACTATGATTACAGACATGGCAAGGGACCTCTGGGTCGAGGCAAGGAGAGGCTGTAAAAGTCTAGCTCGACTGCGGTATTATTGATGTATGTTTTGATTTGCTATAAGTAGCTCTTATATACATGCTTATCAGAAGCTTGTCAAATTGAAGATCAAGGGAACATCAAAAAAGACGAGAAAAAAACACAAGGACTCGCGCAAACGCCTTGATCGCCTGTACCCATGGTATATTCCACAAACTGGTAACTCCAACATGGGGTTGTCGTCGCACGCAGGGCTAACCCCGTTGACAGCCAGGGTCGTCCATTACAACGTGGCTTCAGCCTGGGGTGGAAGCGCTGTCTTCGCTGCTGTTGCTGGAAGGGTCACTCATTAGGCCGTAGCCCACGCTGTGCGTGGTCGAGCCGGCCCGATCTGTCGTCCAGGTCTCGCCAATGACTATGACCCTCGTCTTGCCGCCTTCCAAAAAGTTGGCCTCGTCCTTGGTTAACACGGCGGAAATCTCTTTTGAGTAGACACTGCGGTAGAAGTCGAGAAAGTGGGCCTCGTCCTCGAAGACCATGTCGGAAATGCAGTCGAAGTCAAATTCTTCGTTGAGCACGCCCCTCAGCAGCAGCGGGGGGCGGTCAACGTTGGCAGGGCCACCAAAGCCCTTCCGGACAATCCGGGCTAGGTAGCGACGGTTGAAGGTGATGGGCCAGCAGTGACTGAGCAGCGAATAGGCTAATGGAATGTGCGTGTTTTCGTAGTGGTCTCTGAACTGCTCCGACGTGATGTGGCTGTTGCGCGTGACGAAGAGGACAACGGTGTACGTCATACTGGACGGTCCGGGAGCAAGGGACTGTTTCTTATGGATATGCGTTCTTCTGGAAATTGCTTGTTTTTGGCGGAGAGAATGGGAGGCCCGATGACAGGGGAGCGGGAGGTCTTGTAGTAGTTGAAGTGAGCGGCAACAGTGTGTGGACTCGGTCGGCCTGCCTGCTATGTACGTACATACATATGTAGGGAGGATGCACCCGCCGCGCACCGCCTACGACGGCCCTGTGTGGCTTATATGGACGCAGGCGCGCCAGCTCAGTGGATGCGAGGCTATACCTAGGGGCGGGCTACGGACTTGAGGCCGTCTGGTGCCATGGGGTGGCTTTTTTTGTTTTTTGGCGTTAGCTGTCTTGCATGCGATGCCAGAGGGAACCCAGGGGCGAGTCAGGCCCGCAGAAGAGCCGGCGCCGGTGCAGCTGCCTATCGATAACGCCCGCCACTAGCACCAACGCCCGCCCACAGAACAGAGAGGGCCAAAATTGCGCCAGGCCAAGGTGGGGGGGACAGAGGCCCTCCTCCAAGACGACGACGACGACGATACCATCAGCCCGCCCAGCCCACCACCACCACCCGCCGAGCCCGCCCCCTCTCCCTCTCCAACCATGAGTCTGCGCGAGCGAGTCCCGCCGCAGTACCACAATGGCGAGCCCGCCCGCCGCGCCCCCGACGACGACTCGGACGTCGAGGAGGAGGCCATGGCCAACGACTACCGCGAGCAGGTCCAGTACGATGGCATGGAGGATCTCGACCGCATGCCTTCCATGACCGGCAACCACGACATCCACGCCCAGCTGCAGGCCGCCGCCACGCCCCTCGAGTTCCAGGCCACGCTCGAGACCAAGTTTGCCAGCTACGACAGCTACTGCAACCTCTTCCACTACATCCTCAACTCCGAGGGCCCCGTCGACCTCGAGGTTCCCAACTATTACTGGGCCTGGGACGTCATTGACGAGTTCATCTACCAGTTCAACAGCTTCTGCAGCTACCGCCAGCGCGTGGCCCAGAAGAGCGACAATGAGGAGGAGATTGCCCTGCTGCGCGAGAACCCAAACACCTGGGGCTGCTACAGCGTCCTCAACGTCCTCTACTCGCTCATCCAGCGCTCTCAGATCAGCGAGCAGCTTGCTGCCATGAAGCGCGGCGAGGATGCCAGCCTGTATGCCGGCGAGTACGGCAACCGCCCGCTGTACAAGATGCTGGGCTACTTCTCCATCATTGGTCTCCTCCGCGTCCACTGCCTGTTGGGTGATTTCAGCCTGGCGCTCAAGACGCTCGACGACATTGAGCTGAACAAGAAGGCCATGTTTGCCCGTGTCATGGCCGCCCACTTCACCACATACTACTACGTCGGATTCTCGTACATGATGATGCGCCGCTACTCGGACGCCATCCGCATGTTCAGCCACATCCTCGTCTACGTCTCGCGCACAAAGAACTTCCAGAAGAACGCCCAGTACGACTCCATTACCAAGAAGAACGACCAAATGTACGCCCTCGTCGCCATCTGCGTCGCCTTCCAACCCACCCGCCTCGACGATACCATCCACACTGCGCTGAGGGAAAAGTACGGCGAGCAGTTCAACAGGCTACAGCGCGGCGGCCCCGAATCGCTTCCCCTGTTCGAGGAGCTCTTCCGCACCGCCTGCCCCAAGTTCATCAGCCCCACGCCTCCCGACTTTGACAACCCAGAGATCAACATCGACCCCGTTGAGCACCACCTGCGCATCTTCATGGACGAGGTCAAGAACAACATGATGTCGCCCACAGTCAAGAGCTACCTCAAGCTCTACACCACCATGGATCTTAAGAAGCTCGCTGGCTTCCTAGAGGTTGAGCCGGAGAAGCTGCGGTGCTGGTTGCTTGTCAACAAGCAGAGGAGCAGGCAAATACGGTGGGCCGAGGGCGGTCTCCTGGATGGCGATGTTATCCAGGCCAGTGACCTCGACTACGCCATGGAGGGTGTAAGTAGATGCTGTTTTGAAATAAACAATGACAATGCTAACAAGAAACAGGATTTGATCCACGTTTCCGAGGCCAAGGTCGGCAGGAGGCTCGTAGACTGGTACCTTCGCAATTTGGCGAGGACGTACTAGGAAGGGTGGGAGAGATTTTAGACATGAAATATTCAGATTTCGAAACCTGTTCAATAGAGCATTGCGACTTGGAGTTGGAGGGTTTCACGGCGTGCACATTTCAAAAAGCAGGATTTTATTTTTGCGAGATGCGGAATACGCTCTGGCAACGGGGAGACGGAATTGGCTCCAGGTTGTAGGGTATCCCATGGCGGGATGACGGTGCCCGCCCGCGTGTGCTGGTCGGGCCGATGGAAGGAAATGACTACATCTAGGTAGAGAAGTAGGCGAGTACCGAGACAGATGAATACCAAACAAGCGTTTATGATTGCAATGCGCGTCTGGTGGGATTGGGATTGGGCATGAAATTGCGGTGGCTTTGGTTGGAGAAGCAGAAGGGTCGCAACAACATGACGTGCCGAATTGTGTCGGACTGCGCAATGGCTTGCAGTGGGGGATGGGTGCTAGCGTGCTGGGTAAAGAGCATTTGCATCTGAGCAGGCATCGCTTCTACTCGACCAACCTCAGCCAAACAAGATCGACGAGCAGGCACCGCGTAAAACAAACGTGCCAGAAGCACGCACGCCGGAAAGAACATGGGGATCAAGTGAAGCTCCTACCCCCACCCACGCCGCCCATGGCCTTTTTCCATTGCCCGATGCGCCTGGCACCTGGCTAACAACGACCCTCTGTCATCACGATCGCCCCTGTGCACACCGACTCGAGATCGACTCCCTTTTTCAGTCGACCGCCTGCCCTTCTGGACAGCTGCTGCATTGTTATCCACCTTGCTTGTGACCACGGCGGGGTAAATCAATCAAGACACCACCTCTCTCCACTCTTCGACCAAAGCAACCGCACCACACGCGCCGTGTGAGCCTCCACTATCCACAATGGCCCTCGACTCAACCACGGTGCCTGGAGCCTCACCCACGAGCAATCCGTCAAACACACAACCAGCCTCGGGCTCACTCTCCCGCCAGACATCTACCCCAGCTTCTCGACGAGCCTCTCAGATATCCCCCATGGGTCCTCCACCGCTCCCTCTGGCATCTCCAGGAGGCACGATCCCGACATCTTCGCACCCACACACCCACGCCTTTCCACCCCTCAGCCCAGGACCAACCAGCTACATGCACCCAACCGCCGCCGACTCGGACACCTCGAGCGTCCCCATACGCCACCCACGCCCCATGACTGCCGCAGAACTGCACCTCGAACTCGAAAAAGAACAAGAAGCAGTCGTCAACCGCCTCACGCGCGAACTCTCCGCTCTCCGCGCCCACTCGGCCTCGGTCGCCTCGACAACCTCCTTATCCAGCAGCGCCGCCGACTCGTCCATCGCACACGTCGACGGCCTCGTCACCCCGGGCTCCATGCACCCTACCTCGTCGCGCCGCCACCGCAGCTCGTCGAGCGTGTCGCGCAGCGCAAATCATACAGCTGCCGCGCACCGGTATTCGGTTTCGTCGCAGCAGACGAGCGGTACGTCGAGGTATGAGGAGGTTGCGGCGCAGAAGGCGGAGTTGGAGGAGGTGAAGAGGGAGAATGAGGGGTTGAAGGAGAGGATTAGGGAGTTGGAGAGGTTGATTAGGGAGGGGGCTACGAGTGGGAGTGAGGAGAGGGGGAGGAGTGGGGGGCCGAAGGGTGGGGAGGGGGTGAAGGAGATGGAGAAGTGAGGTTGGGGGATTTGGGAACGAGGGAGATGGGTATGAAGTCATACTCTTCTTCTTCTTTTTTTTTTCATGAATGCAGTCTTCTCAACTTTCTTTTCTTTTTTCTTGGGGAGGCGTGAAGGAAGAGATACAAGTACACTTATTTACCCACTTGAATGATTAACTTTGGTATTCTTCATTACTCTAGCCTTTTTTTATCTAATATCAAATCTACTTTCGGGGGGATGTCTTATCCTCCTTTTTTTGCTTTTGCTAGAGTGGGGGCTGCGCGGGTGCGGGCGCGGGAAGGGGGGAGAAGGAAGCGGGAAGGATGATTTGCGCATGCATGAATGCATACGTATGCGCAGGCGTATCTGGAGTACAGGTGTATGCCGTCTATGTAATGCGCCGTTTGTAGCAAACGATGTGAGTAATGATAAGGACCGCAGACGCGTCTGCGTATTCCTAGTGTCGATCTATATCGTCATTTTTTTTTCTAGACTCCCGTGTCTGTGTGCGTGTGTGGGGTGTTGGTGATGGTGGTGGCGTTTCTTGTTTAACACTGCTTTTCGTGCTTGGGTGGCTTGATGGGATGGAGGGATGGGAGGAGGGTAAAGGTGGTGTACGTCATTTTTTTCGGTGCAAAGATGATGTGGGATGGAAAGGAAGGATATATCTTGATGGTTTTTTCGTATCGAGTGTTGAAGGGTATATTCTTCTTGTGAATTATTGTAAGTTTTTGGAAGTTTTGGGAGGGGGGGACTTTTGTAAATACTACGATTTGAGTGGTTTGATACTGCCAAACAAACGACTTGGACAAAGATATAGTGCACGGGATTTCGTAATACAATTCCTCGCTGAAAGATTAAGAAAAGATGGCTTGTCTATCTACTCTCCGCTCTATTTTCAAATCAAAGAAGAAGAAGAAGAAGGCAAATCCCACCTTCTTGACAGAAAAACCCGGTATGTCTCCTTCACCCCCTCCCTTTCCTTCCATCCTCTTACCTCCATCTAACACAAGCCAGCCAACACACACGCTTCTCCCCGCCCCTCCGTCTCGACCTCAACCCAAACAAGCACCCCATCGTACAAACCACCACTACACACAGTCCCGAGCGCCATAGTCGCAGCGACAGAAAAAGGCATGATCTCCGCATCTTTGTGCTCGGTGTCGCAATCTCCTTCTGCATCAACATCTCTTGCTTCGACATCTACACAGCCGGCATCTGCACAGACGACATCAACACCGGCACCGTCTCCATTCCCCAGTTTGCCATTAGCATCGCCATCGCCATTATCGCTGTCGTCATCGCAATTATCGCCGTTTGCTCCGTCGCCGGTGTCACCAGTGTCTCCAGTGTTCAAGTTGGAGGAGAGAAAGGGGGAGAAAAGAGAGAGGGAGAGTATAAACAGTACGACGACACTAACGCGAGGTGAAGAAGCTTGCGTATCGGGACATAGTAGTAGACGGACGAGTGTGAGATTCAAGGGATTGGACGTCTAGAATATTATTTTCTTTATTTTTCGTTTCATTGAAGCGTAAGCGGTCGGCGTTGGCGTTAGCAAAAAACCGGGGGCGGGCGTTCTACACATCTTCTTTACTACATCATATCCCATATAGCCAACCTGCATACTCTCACATGATACAAAAAAAAACCCCGAAATATTCGCTTTTTGCAATCCTCCTCACAAAACCTTCCCATGTGCCTTTGAAAAGCCAGGCGGCCTTTGGACGTATACTTAAACAATTCGACGTGTCATCTTCCTATTCTCACCCAACCTCTTCGCCTTGAGCGCATCGCGTCTCCGCTTCTTCCACGCTCTGTTCAAATCACCGCGATTCTCCCAGAACCACTTTTTGAACTCGCTTTCGGGCTTTGCTGCCTCTCCGTTCTCACCATCTGCAGTGATACCCTCATCTTCCTCGGCGACGTCAGCGAGCTTACTAGCATTCGTACGCGTGTTAAGGGAAAGCTGGTGCTCGGCGTGGACATCGAGGTCGCTGTCATCTTCGTCATCGTCCCGTTCTTGGCTGTTGCGGCGCCAGTCGAAGGAGAAGCGGCGGCCGATGGCAGCGGTGTCTGGGGTTGGGGCTGCGCTGCGGAGGCCACGCCATTCGATGTCGCGTTGGGTGTATGGGGTGATGGGGGCGTCTTCGATGGGCTGACCTGTGGCTTCTGAGGTGTCGACGTCGGCGTTGTTGTCGAAGAAGGTAAAGGATGTGTCGATTGGGTTGAGCTTTTTGGTGGGAGTTGTGATGGAGTTGTCGTTGGGCTTTGAGCGCTTGAATAGGGCTTCGAGGGGGTGAACCTCTTTTTCCGCAGGTGCTGTGGGTTGGCTCTTTTCTGGGGCTTTCTTGCTCTTGACGGCCGATGGTGCAGGTGATGCGGCTTCTGATTCTTCGGCTTCCGACTCTTCAGCCGACTCTTCCGAGTCCGAGTCTGAAGAATCCTCGTCTTCAGATGAGGATGAAACGACAGACGATTCTTCCGACTCGGATTCAGAAGAAGATGGCGGGGGCGTAACCTTCTTCTTTTTCTTCTGTTCCTTTGTGACCTTGGGCGTGGAAGATGACTTCGATGTCCCGTCGATCCATGCTTTCGCAGCTTCCGAAGGCGCATCTACCAGCTCCAGAGCTCTCCTGGCTTTCGCCTTTCCGGTCTCTGGCTCAACAACAACACCATCTTCATCCACCCATCCCAAACCATTAACATAATCCACTGCAGGTTTCTTGGAGATTACAACGTCGGGCTGCTTCAAAAAACTAGGAGTCTTGGTGTTCTTCTCAAACTCATGCACAACAACCTCTGTAGACTTTGACTTGTTCTTTTCCTTTTTCTCCTTCTTGTCCTTCTTCTTGTCCTTGAGCGCAACCTCGGTCGCAGCAACAGGAGTCAGCTTTGCCTTGAAGAGCAGCTCCGGCTCCTTGGTGTATTTGGAGTGCTTGCGCTCCTTCTTTGCCTCCTTGTCGCTCTTGTCCTTCTTATCCTTCTTCTCTTTCTTGTCCTTTTTGGTCTTGGTCACTGGCTCAGTCCAGCCACGCTTGACCTTTCTGTCGTCTGGTAATTCAACGCCCTCCAGGACCCCTTGTTCTTTCTTTTTCCGTTCCTTCTTCTCCTTTTTGTCCTTCTTTGCGCGTTTTGATGGCCGGTCAGCCTCGCCCTGAGCTTCCTTTGCGGCCTCTGCTTCTTCGCGCGCCTTGCGCTTCTCTGGCTTGGCCATTTCTATGCGCACTTTGGAGCCCTTGAGAATCGTGCCGTTGAGCTTCTTCTTAATCTTCTGTGCTTCTACCTCGGGTAGCTCCAGGTAGCCAAAGCCTTTCTCGGGAAAGGTCTCGACGGTATGGTAGGAGATGTTTTGCGCAAGGGGCAGGACCGAAGGTGCCAGGTAGACCTTGAGCAGATCGGGGCGGAAAGGCGTGATATGTAGGCGGACAGTCTTGCTTTCGGGTTGCGCTTGGGGAGAGTTAGGCGCCTGTGCGTCTGGCATTGAGGCGCAAGTTGGCGCGCGTGCGACAGGGTGTGATTTTGGAGTCGGCAGAAGGGCGCCAGGCGTTAACAAGAGGAGAGGAGGCAAGTTCTAGACCGCCGCCAATACACGTGGTGTTTGTGTGTCGGAGGTGGAGGGGAAAGGAAAATGCTTAGCGTGACATGGACCCGGTGGTCTGGCGCTAGCGTAAACGCGGGCGGAGGTTTGAAGCTCCACTCGACCCGAAGATGGTCGCCATCTCGACATCACGTTACTCGGCGCACGAGAGTCAGCTTAGCCTGTGTCTTGCGCCCATTCTTTACATTATCGACGATACTCTGTTGAATCACACAACATGAGGCGCCCGCCGTATCTCCTCTTTCTCCTGCTGACCTTCCTCTCCTCCCTCTCCATCTCTCTCGCCGCCTGTAAGCCACCTTTGCTACTTGTCCAGTTATTCAAAACCAGCTAAGCTCGTCGCCAGCCCCGACGTCCTTTTGCAAGTGCACCTGTTTCGGCAACAGCACTATTGTCGCCCTCGACGCACCGTCCGTTGCTAAGAAGCCCACGAGCCATGCTGAACCCCGCGCATCCAAGAAGACGTGCAACGACTGCAACCGCCAGTTCTGCCTTGGATACAGCTTTTGCACTGGAGAAAAGGAGGAGAACGTCCTGACCACGTGTTTCCAGAGGGACTCTGCCAAGGACCAGGCCGTCGTCTTCATTTTCATCGGAGCGACACTGGGGCTGCTGGGTTGGGCTGGGCTCCGGCCATGGATTGAGGGGTGGAGAGAGGCATGTATTCGTCTGAGAACCACGCTGAACTGATGCTGACTAAACACAGCGTACGGGAGACCGGCGAAGCTACATTCCCATGGCAGGACAAGGCAATCAATAAAAGCAGAAGACCAGCCTGACATTCAAACATGCGTCATTTATGCGGCATAGATACAAAACAAGATACCCAAGTAGACCAAAGGCCCTAGAGACATGCACAAACTCCATATGCATACATCTAGTGTGACAGCAACATACAGCCTCAAAGTGTATAGTAGTACATGAAGGTCATCAAAACCCCCTCACATGGTATCCCCCGCTCTCTTTTACTCTTTCTTGGACCCTCCCGTTATCCATCCAAACCAGCCTTTGCCGGTAGCCTCGACCTTGTTGACTGCCTTCTCAGCAGCGTTGTCCAATGGTCCGCCTACTGTCTGTGTTGATGGCGCCGAGGATGTGTATGATGTGTCGTTTGCCCTAGCCTCCTGCACGGCAGCGGTAATGCCCAGATTCGAGTTTCCTTGGGCTTCTAGTCGCTTGATCTCCTCCACGGCTAGCCTTCGCTGCTCGGCAATGGATTGGTCCTCTTTCCAGTCACCGTGCAGCCACCACAGCAGCTTGGACGGTGCTTTCCGCTCCGCCTTCTTCTTCTCCATCAATTCCTGTTCTTCGGCAATACCTGCAACAAGCGCAGCCTGTGCTGGTGACGCAGTCCCGGATGCAACAGCGGAGCGGGCGGCTTCGAGGATCCTGGCCTGTGTGCGCTCTTCTTCGGCAAAGTAAATTGCGCGTTTCCGCCGGTTGTAGACAATCATGTCGCCTATTGAGAAGACGGCGAGTACGCCAACGCAACCTTTATAGAATGTTAGCAATTGATTCTGACAATTCAATGGAGCAGTGCAATTGTCTTCTGGGAACAGACATACCAGTTGCAAATATCAATCCATAAACGGTAAATCGATGCGCCGCATCCGCTGCCATTCTGCCATATAGATACATATAGTCCCACCTCGTCACTTGTGCCATCTTCGCCCTGTTCGCTGCCTCTCGTAACCGCTTGACCTTTTGCTGTGGCGTTTCATTTTTCGGCGCTGGATCAGCGAATTGTAGCGTCGTTGCACGCCCGCCGGGACGTGTGTGCGCCCATACTCCAGTGGCCGTGAAGCGGGTCGAGTCCTTTGGTGATTTGGACATTGTGTGGGCGGCGGCGGACGCACTCGAGTGTGGGAGTGGCGTGGGGTGGTGGGAGCGAGGATGCCGTCAAGACTTGCGGAGCGGGAGGTCGAATGATTCGACGATTTCCAAAAGTTGAGATGGACTAGGGTTGGATGCGGAGATTTCCGCCCTGTTCCCTGTCTCCACCCAACCAACCTACACCCATCGTGCAGCGCTACTACTTCGAACACGACAAGTTGGATTGTGCCGCGATTTTTTGGTCGTTGACTGCAACGTCTTTCAAGATAGGGCCGCCGGACAGTTCTGCAGCACAGAATGAGTGGTCTGGGCTGGAGAGTGCTTCTTTCTCTTCCTTGCCCTTGAAATAAGCGCAAGCAATACGCGCCATGCGCCATCACTCACACATTGAACCTGCACCACACCCCACACATTGAGACACTGTAGATCCATCCTAGAATTTCTCATTCAGACACTCAAATTTGTACCGCAATCATGTCGCAAGACGGGCAACAAAATCCAGATCTTGCAGCCATCTTGGCCACGCTCGCAAGCCTGCCCAAGCCCGAGGCTCAACCGTACCAGGACCAACAAGCGTATGAACAGAATAATAGCTATCAAGGGTATCAGGATCCTCAGCAGCACTATCAGCCCGAGCCGATCCATCAATATCAACCACCAACTGACCCCCGTCTTGCTGGTCGTCCACCCCAGCACCGACAACCACCTCCCAAAACCCAAGACCGGGTATCATCTCCGCTCATTGACCCTTCAACCATTATAGAATGGAAGCAAGGCCTCCGCTGCGTGAGCAAAATAGCAGCACAAAATCCTGATTTTGCTCCCGCCGTTCGCAAGGTGCGACATACATTCTCTCCACCTTCTGTACTCAACGCTTACTATTTGTACTAGTTGATGAAAGACCAAGAAGCAAATGTCAAATCCTGGGAAGCCGGCCGCAAGAAACTCATCGAAGAGCAAAAATTTCAGCGCGAAAACGAGCGCACGCATCGAGCGGCTTTGTACGCATCTTCTCTGTCTTTGTCGAACCCAAAGTCTAAACTAACGTCTCTCCAGGTCACTTCCTGGTCTACTAGAAGGCACAGCACTCCTCCGGGTATAACTTCCCAATCTCCATGCTCACTCCCAACGCGCCAAACTAACCTCCCCTCAGACCCCCGAGCGCGAAAAAGAAGAACTAGATCAATACGACGCGAAAGTTTACCGCGCCTGCAAAGCAATGGTCGACTCGCAGTCTTCATCCCTCAAAGTCCTGGGAGTTCCTTTTTTCGGTGTCAAACCGTATCTTGTGCAAGGAGCAAGTTACGATCCTTTGGAAGTTGTGGATTCGCAGACGGTGACGCCAGGCGGGGGAAAGATTACCAATGAGAGGCTTTTGGAGTTGCAGAGGAAGATGCTGAATCATCTTATGGAGTTGTATGGGGATTGAGCAAGTGAGATGGGTAGGTTGGGTTAAATTGGGGGTGGTTGGGGGGAGGGGGTATACGCTGTAGGTACAAGGATTTGACACAGAGAGGTAATTGGATCAATGTCGATTTTTGAGGTCGTCCGGTACTATTTTCTAATTCTTTATTGTACATTCACTCATTGCTCGTCTTATAACCTTTTTACCAATAATCCATTTCCGTCCATCTATACATCCCCCAGCTTCATTCTCTTCAATCAGCAGACCGTGCCCTCCCCATCAACTTTGCTAACCATGAGAACGTAGTAACATCCGTTCTGTCAGATAACCTGCCACATCCTGACGTGCAAGAGTGGCTTTCGACGCAAAATCCTGCCAAACCGCAGTCACTGGCTGATATTACGGTTGTTGGGCAGAATCCCCACAGCCCACGCGCAGTGTCGACTCGACACCCATAGCCTGGGTCTGCTGTTCGGGAGCTTTTGGGGTTCCCATCAAGGTATCCGCAGGTAGTAATGTGCTCAGCATTTTGGCGATTATGAAGCTGGTGGCGAGCTAGTGCGGTCGCAGAAAGTGATGGTAGAGAAGTGATTCCATTGCGTATCATCGCAAGGCTGGGAGATGCAAAGTTCAAAGCAGTCAAAACGACAAAGAACAGACCAAAGATTTTAGACATGGCTTCGAACGAGTGACAGCGCGATAAAAAATGAAGGTCAGAGAAGGGAGGACTAGAGACGTAAGGTACCTACACGCAATGCTGGTGATACCTGCAGCCAAGGACCAGAACCGCGTGATGTTTGCTGTGCCGCATATCTGCAGCCACTTCGCCTTTGATGTAGCCGCCCTTGCATCAATTTGGCTATATCCAACAGGTCTATGGGTCCGTAGGTGTGTTCAGTCATCCTTATCCCATATCTTCTCGAGATACTCTCTTTCGAAGAAACAAGGGGAGAACGTATGCATTGGCAGGTCTTGAAATATATCTGTCGGTTACATTGGGATTGAAAACAACATATCGTTCCTGAAGTCATTGGTGATGGATATGCCTGTTGTAGCATTATTGTTATGCAGAGCGCGTTTCGTGAGATCCTTACGCGCCTGGTCCAATGTCACTCATGTAAAGATTGTTGTGATTGGTCGAAAGGCGCGATGACTTCTGTAATTTCCTTAAGCGTTCATTCCTTCACGACGGATGTAGCCGCCTGCCCCCACGGTCTTAGCCCTGGCAAACGCGGGATGCGGCGCGGTCGCTCTTGCCAGCCTTGTCTACTCGTTTGCCCGCAACCAGGATGCAAACCTTCAGAATGCCAGCTCCTCACCACACCAACTCCTGAACTATACTTCCGTTTTTCTTCTGGTGAACCAACCGTCATGGCGGCGCAGCGGAACATGCGGTCGCTCCTGCAGGCCGTCGCAATGCTAGTTGTGGTCTTTGTTCTCATCACAGGAGTGGGGATTTCTCAGTATGGCGACAGTCTTCCGAGGATTAAGTTCAGCCCGTCTGGAAATTCGGATTCAAGCCTATCAGGTAGGAAATTTTCCGGTTTAGCGTATTTCTATACTTACTGAAATTTACAGCGAAACCTGAAGAAGCCTCTAAAGATCAACCGACACATCCGCCGGACTCGACACCACCCTCAACAAAAGGCAATGCCACTCTACGAGCACAAGCGCCACCATATATCCGCGCAATTATGGATCCGGCTGACGTGACATTCCCACGCCTGGAGTGTCCACAGCCAAACCTCGAGCGCTATAATTACCTAGGGCGCGCGTCGGAACCCACAATCCATGCGCAACTCCCAAGGTACTTCTTTGCACTCGACTTGCATCAATGCGTTGATCTCCTTCCAAGACTCATTGGCTCGATTTTAGAAACCATACTCTGTCTTGGTCCACCAAACTGTGTATTGTCCATAGTAGAGGGGAGATCGGATGATGGTACTTTTGAAGTGCTTGATGAGCTACGTTCCAACCTGGAACTGCTAGGAATCAAATACCACCTACAGACAAGCGATGTGAACCCAACGGCAGAAGGAACGGATCGCATTGAAGCGCTTGCAGAGCTTCGAAACCTCGCGCTCAAAGATCTCGAAGAACACCCAGAGCATTACGAAAAGGACACCACCGTCATATTCTCCAATGACATTTCGCTTTGTATGGAGGACTTTTTGGAGTTGATCCATCAGCGCAAATTCCAGGGAGCCGACCAGACCTGTGCCATGGATTGGACGTATGTTGGCGACAACCCGACTTTTTATGATGTTTGGATTGCTCGCGGCATGACTGGTGACTTGTTCTTCAGAATTCCCCAAGACGGCAGCTGGGATTTTGCATGGGATCTATTCTGGAACGATCAAAAGTCAAAGTCGCGACTTTCTACCTGGAAACCTTTTCAGGTGTTCTCGTGCTGGAACGGCGTGACTGCGTTCACTGCAAAACCAATCATGGAGAAGAAGATCAAATTTCGGGCGCATATGGAGGGAGAGTGTTTTCAGGGAGAGCCGAAGCTATTTGCCAAGGACATGTGGTTTCACGGCTATGGTAAGATCGCTGTGGTACCAAGTATCAATGTGGAGTATAGTGACGAGGCGTCGAAGAAAATTAAGGTGCTGAAGGGATATACTTCTAGTCATGTTGAGAATGAAGGCGATGATATCAAAATTAATTGGGAAACTTCACCGCCGGAACAGGTGAAGTGTATGCCTGAGCATCAGCAGCAGTCATTCAAGCCCTGGGATGAGGGACTACGGTCTGAGGGTTCACCATAGAAGACTTAATACAGGATTCTTTTCCGTAAAACGAAAATAAATAAACAAAATAAAATCCTTTTTCAGTCAACTCAAGCATGTATGCCGTTATCGGAATAGTGGTGTGTTTGGAACTGGAGGTTATTCTTCTTACTGATCTGATTACTCTATCCGTCTACATCACCTCATGCATATGCGTACGTGAGAAGCCCGCTATCCGATACATGCACGTCCTAGAACTTCCTTTGATCCAGTCCTATAAGCGCCCTCGATGCTCTAGTTTCCCTAAGCCAGCATTCCGCTTGTATCCCTATACGAGTCGACTCCGCATTAAAGATCCTTCGGGCCGGCCACAACTGATTGGACAAGTAGCCCAAAATACCATCGTCACTCGTGCTCGAAAATCCCATAGGTAATAAAAGTAGCTAGAACAAGCGGACCGACTGGCAAAACCCAGAGTCTCCATGTACCGGGAAAGTCAAACAAAACTACAATACCGACACTGAAAAAACAAAAACAAATTGTCGCACTCTTTTTTGTTTACGTATCCGCATCAATGTGCTTTTTCCTGCATCTTTTATCAATCTCGAATTTGCCAGCGCAACTCCGTCGTCTTCGCCTGCACGCTGCAACCTCGCAAATCCTTTCAAAGACAAAAAAAACCCCACCCCAAGCACGTTAACCCCCATTCCCGGGAAATGACCACTTTATCCCCCACCGGAAATACCCAAATCGGGCATCCCGGAAAGCTTCCCCCCCTCCGACACACAACAAACTCTAGACTTTCCGGGGGAAACGGGTGTGTTATGCGGGGTAGTGTCAATGATCTCCCCTCCCCAGTAACCCCGCAAATTAGCTAGATAGTATGCATGGATTACAGCTATGGACCGCGTAGTGCAATCGCGTGTGGCGTAGCCTTTCCTCTCCACCCCCCGGAGCGATTCCGCTAGTAAGACTGCTGCAAGTCAAGTTGATGACGTTTGTCTGCCAGTTTGGGGGGGGGATCTTGCGGGCAACCGGCTGTAAGGGATACTAGGTCGGATCGACGGGGAGGTCTTGACATGTTGCATGAGGGCAAGCGGGTAAGGCCTGGTTATCGGGCGAGAGATGGGGGGGGTGGAGTGTCGATCTTCTGGGATTCGTGCAGGAGGGGTATGTTGTACCACTGTTCGCGTATGTATATATATGTGAGTGTTCGCCGGGGCCCTGGGTTGTGTAATTCGCCTCTTCCCATCTCCGCATCAATTGAGCTTTGGTCACCAAGAGTTGGCTGCTATCTTTTGGATTCGAACATTTTGTTTGCAATCATGGTGCACTTTCGTACGGATATCGCGGCGACGAATGAGGCGGCGGATCCGAATAATGAGAACTATGCCAAGGAGCTTGAGACTGATGTGCTGATTGTAGGTGCTGGCTTTGGTGGCATTTACTTGATGCATAAGCTGCGTCAGCAAGGGTTCAAGTGCAAGATTATGGAGGCTGGGTCGAATCTTGGGGGTATTTGGCATTGGAATTGTTATCCTGGTGCTCGTGTAGACTCTCAGGTTCCTATCTATGAGTACAGTATGCCGGAGGTTTGGAAGGTAAGCGTGGACTTTGATACTCTTATTTGTGTGCAAGCTGACGGATATCAGGACTGGACTTGGTCTTGCCGGTACCCCGGCACAGAAGAACTCCAAAAGTACTTTGATCATGTCGAGAGGAAACTGGATATAAAGAAAGACTGTGCTTTCAATACAAGAGTCATCGGGGCGCAGTATGACAAGCCGTCTTCAAGATGGATAGTGAAGACCGAGGATGGCCGCACAGCGCGCTGCAAGTATTTCCTGCTAGCTCTTGGCTTTGCAGCGAAGCGCCACTTTCCAGACTGGCCAGGCATGGATAAGTTCAAGGGCGAAATCCACCATTCGAGTTTCTGGCCTGCGTCTGGAGTAGATGTCAAGGGCAAGCGTGTTGCGGTGATTGGAACGGGGTCGACGGGTGTTCAGATTGCTCAAGAGACTTCCAAAGAAGCTGCCAGTATAACGCAGTTTGTCAGGACACCAAATCTCTGTCTTCCCATGCGACAAAAACCTCTAACAAAAGAGGAGCAAGAGAAGAGGAAGCAAAGCGAGTATGAGGAAATCTTCAAGAAGAGATTGACGACTTTTGCCGGCTTCTCATACGACTATCTTCAGAAATATACCTTTGAAGACTCACCAGAGGAGCGCGAAGCTTTCTATGAGAAGATTTGGGAGAATGGTGGTTTCGAGTTCTGGCTGGTAAACAATTCAC